TGGCCATATACTCCATATGAAGTAGACCTCTCTTTTGTAAGATGAAGAATTATTAATAATAATAATAAATTAATTTGCCCAGGCTAATGATCTTGTCTTAGTCATTTCATCACAACTTTTCTATTTATCATATAAAGCTCTTTAGTAATTTATCCATGCTGTCAAAAACAATGGCATATTTAAGTAATCTTACACCTGTAGTTTTTGTAGTAAAACTGTCTTGGTTTCCATAGTCCTACAGTAATACCAAAATATTAAGTTCATCTATGGTTTTTACAGGTAGTAGACTGTCTTTTTTTTCTTCTATGTGCCATGTCCGGTCAGGCCATAGACGATCATGGCCCTCCACAACCTCCTATCACCCATGGCCCTCAGCAGCATTTCTCTCTTCTGCCATCCACCCATACAAGCTATTTCTTGTGAGTTTTAAGTCTTCCAATTCATGATGAATCCAAGAAATTTCAGCTGTCTCTTTCTAAATCGGATTATGTTCTTTCTGTTACCATTTTTTTTCAGATTTCCTTAATGCGCACTCATTCCATCCATGAAATTCTCAATATCCTTCTGTAGAACGAAATTTCTGTTGTCCCCAGTTTCCTCTTCACCTCTAGTGAAATTGGCCAGCATTCACTACCATACAAGAGGATTGATATCACATAGCAATTCAGCACCCCTTTTTCTTTGTTTCTCCACCCAACTTCCAGGGACAGCTATCTCGGTAGTTACAAAAAGATTGGATTTATATCACATGCACTCAGTGCCTTTGTATATCTGATTTGTTGAATTGTGTTGTCCATGCAACAATAACTATTTTATCAAGCTCACTTCTAACCAGGATGCGTTTATCAAATTAAAAAAAAAAAAAAAAAAACAACATATGCTCCACCTTCAATCACATTCCTTTGTTGCAATGGGAAAGTTTGAAGCAAATTATCTTTTTTTCAGATTGTCTTCTTTTATGTGCCATGTCTCTTCAGGACGAGAGTGATCATAGCACTCCACAACTTCCTAACCTTTTTAGTTCTTTCTAATAGTACTATTTTTAAAAACAAAATTAGCTGTATTATCAGAAATTGTGGACAGCCCATAACAGAAAGAAAAAAAAACACAATTTTCAATCTTGATAGAGTCCAAAAGCATCTAGCTACACGGCCTTGTGGGTGATGAATTATTTTCCACCTTACAACCCCTTTCCACAAATGAAACATTGCAAGCCTCTTGCTGCTTTATTGCTATTTCCATAGAAAGTGTTCAGGCAAACTAAATTCCTTCTCCACTAGTCCTAACCTTCACTGTTAAAACCCACCATGCCACAAACACTGTAGTAAACCACCCTCATTCCATTCATTTTTTATTGGTAAGATGAAAGTCCCACTTGAGCAGCTTCTTCCTATGAACTACAGCTTTGTGGAACTGACTCCCAAGAGGACGCTTCCCAGATCACTACAACTTTAAACTGTTCAAGTCATCTAGGGTTAACTGTTATCTTCAACATATCCCCATAATTTGAGCCTTTTATTCTGTAACCGGCCACCTCGAGTGGCTCTTGGGCTTGTACAGGATGAGCATCATTTAATTTTTTTTTTTTTAACTAGTTAAAAGTTTGAATACCCAATACCCAATGAAGATCGAATTAATTTAGCCAAGAAGGGTAAGTTAATTGATTGAGACTTCATGTCTAGTGGAAAATATTGAAAAAAAAAAAAAAAAAAAAAAAAAAAAGTGAAAACCTCCATGATTAAATTTTTAGGGCGAATTTTTTTTTTTTAGAAAAACATTTTTTTTATATCACTTCCTTGTTGCTTATGTTCCAGTAATGTTACTGTTGGTTGGGTGTGATTTTATCATTTTACTCATTACTGTTTTTTTTTCGTTTTATATGTGTGTGTGTGTGTGATCAAGTAAAGTAAGTTTCAGTTTTCAAGTCGGTTTCAAAAGGTGTGTCTTGCTCGAATCAACGAACCACCAAAAAACACGGTCAGCAGGGGCAGAATTTTTTCTGCGAACATTTGTAATCCAAAAAAAGAATTTCCTTTTCTTGGAATCGTGATAAAAAAAACAAAAAAAAACAACACACACAACAACTACTACTACAAAAAAAAAAAAACTACTTTGAGTACAATGATCAATTTATCCTGACCTGGTATTTGAAAATTATATACAGTTGCCTTTGATTAGAAGTTCGTTTCCCGAAGTTTGTTCCACTCAAATGCGTCACACTAAAAATTATGTAGCCATCATAGCTAAAAAAAAAAAAAAAAAAAATTGTATAAATTTTAGTAAGAAAGAAAAAAAGTCAATGCTTATTTTTATTTTAGCATTTCAAACTAAGCTAGAATAAAGGATTCAGTAACTGCCCCTTATGAGTTGTGCAAAATTTGCAAATTATTGTAGTTTAAGTAATTTTTTTTTCTCTTGCTCGCTCCGCAATCGAGCAATATTGGGGTTTTACCCGGTTAATCCTGGGTGACAAAGGTTTTCCACAAGCACTAAAAACCCACTAAACTGCAATCTTGCGTTACATTCGGTAACAACATGGACGTGCTGAGACAGAGAGAGACATACTGGCTTTTATAGAGCTCCAGCGGGTGATCTTATCCCAGACAACAGAGGATATCTCTATTAAAAGCTGAAATCTCTCTAGAAGGCTCACTTCTTGCGCTCGGAAATCCCCCACGTTAAAAACTGGCCTTGTGCCACATCCCGTCTTGTGAGGAGGTCTCGTGTAAAATACTGGAGTCCACTTCCTGCACTGGGCTGTAAATTTTATTTTTCTCTTCAACCACACAAGTATTACTCAAGTCAAGTATTACAAGGACAGGCCCGAAAAATGTTAGGAAAGAGGAAGTAAAAACAAATCATATTAAAAAGTAATATTATAAAAGTATTTATTTTATGTTTAAGGGATAAAAAACGAATATTTTGCTTTGGGCGATCATTGTGACAACTTTTTCAACGGAGATCAAAGAAAAAAAAAAAAAAGACAGAGTAAGACTTTAATAAAAATAAAACTCCTGGGTTTATTTCTTTGTTGGAACGAAGAAAGAAAAGTGATCTTATTAACCAATAAGTACAAAAATGTTTCAGTATCGAGTGAAGACGAAAATAAAACTTTAAAAAACAAACTTTAAAACAAATGTTACTTATGTAAATACGTGAATATTTCCTTTTTCGCAGTTTATCGTTTTTTAAAGAAATAAAGAAGCGCCTAGATGACTAATAAATTGTAAGAGGAAGTGTAAATCTTTTTTGAATAAACATTTCTTTCGGTATGACATTGAGTATTCAAATGATAAAAAAATCTATTATTTTAGTAAGAAAGTAGACTGAATAGAAGTTGAATTAATTTTCTATTTTCGTGCTTAAGTAGGAAATAAATAGAGTCTTCTCTTCGAGGCTAATTTACAACAGTGCTTCGGAAAATACAAACACCCGTTCAAAAGAACGGACGTCAAATATATTATGTATGAAACTGATAGTAATGAAAAATTATTTATCAAAAATAAACTCTACAAATTTACTGGTGCGGCATTTTTGAGGGACGGATATCACGCATTATTCATTATTGAGGCAACGTCAAAAAAAAAAAAAATCTATTGCTGATGTGTATATTATTTGGTAAATTTGAAGATAATGCCCCAGTGACAAATTAAAAAAAAAAAAAAATCATTCTACCGTTTAGGTCAGAAGATATTGACAATTTTAATTGAGCACCCCCGGCTACCCTCGATTATGCGCTGACCCTGATAATTTGTCATTGGGGCATTATCTACAAATTTATATTTAACACTACCTATTTTTTTTTTTTTTAAGTAAGATTTTTTGTTCTTTATTATCGCTTTTCTGATTTAAAATTGGATGAAACGTTGATATTTGCTTCTCAAAAGTGGCAGGTTGACTCGGTGATTGACTAAAAAACAATTCAAAGATTGTTTTATTTGTAATATTTTTTCCAGATAACAATTTGAAGAACAGTTCCTGATCTAAGCAATAAAGAAAGTTTTCTGGTTCTCTTTCAAACAGATCACAATTTCTTCTTTTGGGAGAAAGGCACCGCTGTTATGATCTTATGGTTGATGATGACATTTACGCTGAACCTGAAGTGAAAGTTGCTTAGGAAAAAAGAAAAATCTAAATTAAGAACACACACAAAAATAAAAGTAGATAAAAATGCAGAGATATAGAAAGAAATAAGGAAAAAAAAAGTCATCATATTGAAGTAATTTTTTCCCCAAGTAAATGAAACGATAGATAAAAAAAAACAAATACCTCAATAACAAAAAGAACGGTTTCGTGAGAAAAGAATAAACTAAAAAAGGTTCAAAAATTCGAATAAACTACCTACATAAGTTATTTTCCCACCTCAAAGAAAAATTATTTCCTATTATCCAACAAAAAGGAAAGAAAGAAAATTGCTGCAAATTAAAAAAAATCCATACGATACAATAAATCACAAATAGTTATTAAAAACAGTAGGTCCTTTAACAAAAGTAACGTTCCTTTAAAATTTAAAAATCATTTCCTTTTTAAAGGCACATTTTTGAGTTTTAGTCGTATGAAAAAAAAAAAAAAAGGTAGGGGGTTCCGTTCAGTTTTTAAAATAAATCCGTAGTAGACAACTAATCAAACATCTTTTTCTATCGATATTTACTAAACTGAAACCTTCCATCATGAATAAAACAGCCCAACAAAAGAGACGTACCTTTTAAAGAAATATATCGATGACAGTGTTTGTTTTGTGTTCTTCCATATAAAACACGTGTTTTCACCGTTTCGATCCTGCCGTAAATAGAAATAAGTTTATTTACAACCTTACATAATTTAAATGTATAGATAACTTTATATAAATGTCACATATGAGTACTTACTAAATTGATAATTTTATAATAAAAAAATTAAGTGTTGTCTTTGTCATGTTTTTTTATTTTCATTATTTTTTCAGATGAAATGCTGTCGTAATTATCCGAAGTAAGTATCAACAGAATTCATTTCCGGCAATCATGGCGGAAAGCGTGAACCTGAAACGTAGCGGTAAATATTTAAACAATTCAGACAATGATGTCACTCCGAGAAAAAGGAAATCAGACTTGCGTAAGGAAGCGATATTTCCCTGTTATTATTTATGTGTATTAATATATAGTTTGTAATCATGCTGGTGAATATAACGAATTTGAGTCACATCCTAGCACAATCGACATAACGAATAACTTTTTTTTATTTCAATGATTCATTAAAATGTGACCAATTTTATTTTGGAGATAATTTACCTGCATCTGGAATTTATACTATATAATATCTTTGTTCTTGTTATAAAAACTATAATTCTCCACCCGTTCTAGTTTAACATGTCATGTTCATTTAAAATAATAATGTAACTGTCGACCACGAATCTCTAGTAACGTTCTTTTTTATGGCAGCTCATATAAATAACAGAATTTTATTTCATACTCATAGCCTCGATATTTGACTACAAAAAATGTTAGCATTAAATGCTGTTCGAACAATAGACAATTTAATTTCGAGAAAAGTTTATAGTTTATCCAAAATCAACACTTCAGTCACATCCCCACCACCATAAAGTTTGTCTCTGTGTAATTTCATGGTAATTGTTCGGATGAGCTCTTCGCTATGGTATCTAGACTTTGGGTTTTAATTTAAGCGCGGTACTAGACTGGCTTCGAGATCTCATCAATTTACGGTTGAGCTGGCTCGATGTAATTGTAAATTCTACTCTAATATTATCTTCTATCGCACTTCTCGCTTGTGGAACTCCCTTCCGGCTCCATGCTTTCCAGTCAATTTTAATCTGCAAAAATTTAAATGCAATTTCAATAATCGGTATCTACTGTCCTCCTGATTACTCTTTTTAGTCTTTTCTCTTCCCGCTCATTATTAATGTTTCTGTTCCTAATTCTTCCACAACCAGAAACATCCTTATGTGTTAGTGGATTTACTGCCTTGCTTGAGGTGATACCGATTAACAAATAGCATTGAGAAATTGATTTCAGTTGCGCTCTAATAGTAAAAATTATGATTAAACAATTTACCTATATTAAATTAGGAAAATTTTGATTATTGAGAAAAATATATTGATAGGAATAACGGTAGCATCCATTTTTAGACAATTAAAGTTTAAAAATAAAAAAAAATGTCCAGTTTTACAGATTAGATAAAAAAAAATTGCAGTAAATATTTTTAAAAAATTTGTTTCAGAATTAGATTTTCATGAAAAAGAACCAAGAAAAAAAAAAGAAAGGTATAGAACAGAAACTGTCACAAAAAATTGTGTAATGTCCAATATTGGCTTATCATGTTGAAACACAGATTCTCATATGAGACACCAAAGTTATGCAATGTCTAGTCTGGTCAGTGCCTAGATGGGCGACCTTTGGGAATATCAGATACAGTAAGTTTGAATGTGTGGGTAGTGTAATGGATAACGGCTTGGAATTGGAAATTGAAGAGCCAAGTTCCAATTCTCATCAGGATCGTTGTATTCACTTACTGGTAAATACTCTTAAGAAAGGTATGAGTCCACTTCATTTCATTCTATGAAAATGAGATGAAGTACGACTTTTATCAGTAAATCATTATCTCAAAAAAAAAATTCTTAAATCTAAAAATATTTTCTGGCTTTAAATAACCTGCAAGAAAACAGTCAATGTCCAAAATAGAAAAAAAAGTAAATTAACATTATCGACATAATATTGATATAGATTATTAAAATATTTACAGGCCATGACTTGCAATTATTTCTCCTCATCTACAACCACAAGATTTCACTAATTTGTCACATTTTCAGGTGTGATTTCATCCCATTCTTAATTCAGTTACTACCACAAATCAGTCACTGGTTTTTGAACAGGCTATGCCATAACATTGAAAATTTCAGCTTCTAAAAATTTTTTACTGATTTTGTAGTATGACAAGTGGTATTCTCATCCCAAGGACAGTATATACTCTCAGAGAAGAGACCTGCTGTTCAATCATATTTTATATACTGTAGCATATAGTTTATCATGTAATAGTAGGTCAGTACCAGCATCAGAGAACATCGCCTGCACCAATAGGTTACCAATTATGAATTTAACTGTTTTTTTCACACAGTTGCAAAACAATCTCTTGCCAAGACACTATCTGACATTCTGCTTGCCATCAGCAGAGCCAACCAAATTAAATTTACCTCAAATATTAAAGAACATTCTTGCCCAATTTTCAGCAATCCACACAACATGCTGACTTGCAAAGGCATAAACCTCAACTTTAGTTAAAAAGAGCGAGATGGAGTATATCATCCAGTTCACACTCCTCCCCTGTCTTTTAAACAAGAGTAGAGTTTTATCTCTTGCTTCCTGTTTAGGATTGAGTTTCTGGTTTCTTTTAAAGTCTACTCTATACTTCTAACATTTTAGCCTAAACTCTAAAACTTATTTACTATTTTTTTACTTTTTTCTTTTATTTTTTTTTTTTTTTTTTTTTTTTTTTTTGAGTCTTTTTAGTCTTCTTTACTCTCAGTAGCCTCCCTGTGCCTTAGTGGTGTCATCGCCTTGCTTGGGGTGAATAAAATTTTTTTTTTTTTAAAGGCATGTCTGGCATTTTTAACTTTCTTGCCAATGAAGGATTTGATGACAGGAGAATGCGCGTAAAGCCTTGATTCACAGAAATAATGCAATAGTCTCTGCTGAGACGTTTTCAATTACCTGATGCACAATGCTTGCTGCTATACCAAAACTGCTTATCCTGGACTTTTTGAATTACCCGATTCTATCAAAGGGTTGTTTCACGTGGCTGTTTTCATCATCATCATCCTTCAACCTCCCTACGATTGGTCAGAACTCCATTAATAATCCCTTACCACACTGTTCAGTCCTGCATTGTTGTCCTCAGATCCCCAATATCTAACCCTGAGTTTTGAGCTATGGTGTCTGGGAAAGTTAATTTTTGTGAGAAGACACTTCCAGAAGGATGCTATAGGAGTAAAGATGAGATGATTTCCCTGTCCGCTCGGTGTCAGTGCTCCACAAACTGTAATCGTTTTTGTTTAAGCTTAAGAGAGATTAGTCTCAGTTCTCCATAAATTGTGTTAATTGTTTCATGGGATATCCAACTGATCCAACTGATGTTCTGGATTTTTCTAAGTAGATTTGTATATATTCCATCCAGTCATCTTTCAAGATGAGCAGATAATGTCTAAGTTTCTGATTCATACATGACCTCAATATTTTAGGTGACTTAAAGGAGCCAGGATCATCGTAAAACTTTAATATTCTAGAAATTACTCTTTTTAGACTGATTAACTTCTTTTGAAAGAGTAGAAATCATCATCTGAATTTTTAATGTGACAACTGAACACCTAAGTGATTCATCAACTTTACAATGGCCTGCTATCATGATAATTTAGGAAACAATGCTACAGACAAATTAGGAATGTTTGTTTACATTGTAATGTTCCTATATTTCACTTTTTATTTTTTATTAATTTTTTACATTATAATGTTCCTATATTTCACTTTTTATTTATTATTTTTTTCTATTTTTAAATCACATATTTAAAAAAAATTTAAACAATAAAGAATTTAAGAATATTATTGCTACCTAGCCTTTGTGTAGTAAAAAAAAACAAAACAAATACTCTTAGTGAACCATAATTTATTAAAACATTTTTGTGCAAAAAGCCATTTAATTTAACATTTTCTACTACTGTAAAATAAGACTGCCTATTTTTGCTGTGCAGGCAGTTTTAATTGCTGACTGAATAGTAAGATAATATTTTTGGTGGGTGCAAATGTAATTCATTTCAATCAATGTCATCCTTCAGTACTATATTTTAGACATTCTCATTTTTTTCAGATTCAGTGAACCAAGTTGATCGAAGTAGATCTTGTCCTTACCTTGACACAATAAACAGGTAAAAAAAAACCAAAAAACTCATTCTATTTAATGCTGAACCAATTTTTAATAATTGCCAATCACTTAAGGTTTGTAGGACTGTCTAGTTGTTTCTAGCCATTTCTCCTAATGATTTAGGAGGCAGGGTGGAGTAATGGATAGCGGCTTGGATTGAGGAATCTGAGAGCCGAGTTCGAATTCCAGTCGAATCCATTACATTCACTTACGTGCTAACACCCTTGGGAAAGGTGTGAATCCTCTTTCTTCTCCCTCCAGCTATGGGTAAATAGCAGGACAGACTGGGTTCTATAGCCTTGGATGGCAACTGGTCTAGAAGAAGGAAAACTCTGAATTCAAACCTGCTCTTAGAGGAGGGTGAATGGAGTCTCTCTGAGCCTTGGTTGGCAATCCATTTAGTGTTGGTGTCCCGATAAAAACACCCTTGATAGCCCTAGTGAAGCATCAAGAATTCAGCTATTTGACAAGATTATGAACCAGACCAATCAAAGTATTGGTGAGTTCAATCTCGGCTGAGGCCGCAAGATGATGAATGATTTAGTTTGCCTCATTGATTATGGCTTTACAATCCTGTATGCATTTTTCTTCTTTTTATCAGATGGGGAGGTTTTGAAAACATTAATATAACAACTATTTTTTTTTTTTTTTTACTTGTATCTTCTTAGTACAAACCTGTAGCCTGATGCACTCTGAATTAGCTGAATATTGATCTGAAATTTTCACTGTATAATGTTCAAGCATTGTGAATACAATTAACCACTGAATTAAGTACAAGAAGGGAGAGCACAATGAAAAATAAATATGTTGTGAAAATAAATGCTTTTTTTTTTCCTTCATTCTTAAACTATGGGCTCCTTGATATATATATATATATATATATATACCTGAAAATTTCCATATGAAAGCAGTTTTTATAAATTGAATTATACAATGAATTTTAATGTTCGCAATAGGCGATAATGCCTATTTCATTGATTTTTGTTTTGAGGCAAACTTTGTTCTTAGATATTCACTCTTGTTTATAGAAGTATTAATCGATTGAAGTGGATGTTTTTTCTTTCAGATCTGTGCTTGATTTTGATTTTGAGAAACTCTGCTCTGTATCTTTGTCTCATATCAACGTGTATGCGTGTTTGGTATGTGGCAAATATTTCCAAGGTAAGGACTTTGAAAACTGATTATTTCTAAATTTAAAAATATTTGTATACTTTTTATGCACAACCATTACTTTTCCTTACTTAGCATCAGTGTAGTATTTGCTTGATCCACAGCATTTCTGAGCTGAAATTAGTTTTTGTTTTCTGACTGTGAGAAAACTACACAATAACTGGGACAAAATCAGAAGGATTGAACATTGAGAAAAGTGTGAAAAACATGACATGAAGGATGAAATCCTTCACATCAGGGGAGGGGGTAGATTTTTTTTTTAATCATTTCACTCCAAGCAAGGCAATACAGCCACTAGGATGCCAGGGGTTACTGAATGTTAGAGAATATTAGAAAAAACTTCTATGAAGTAGAGAGAACAAGAATTAAGAAAACGGAAAATAATGATTGACATTGCATTTACATTTTTGAAAATCAAAATTACTGAGAAGGAAGAAGCTGGAAGAGAGTTCTAAAAACAAGAGGTACAATAGAAGAAACTATTAGAACTTACATCTAGCCATTTCAACTTGTAAAATGATGAGACCTTGCCATCAATCTAATACTGCATTTAAATTCATAATGTCTAGCTACCATAGTGGAAAGTTCATCAGAACAATTACCATGAAAAGTCACAGGGAAGCTGTGTTACAGTGGTGGGAATAGGACTGAAGCCAAGGACCAATAACATTGCAAATTCTTCTTTAGATTTTATCAATGAAGTAGGACTTTGATCAGTAAATCATTATCTCAAAAAAAAAAAAAAATTCTTAAATCTAAAAATATTTTCTGGCTTTAAATAACCTGCAAAAGGTTGATAAGCTGTAAGAAAACAGTCAATGTCCAAAATAGAAAACAAAAAAGTAAATTAACATTATCGACATAATATTGATATAGATTATTAAAATATTTACAGGCCATGACTTGCAGACCAGATGTGACAACAGTATTCAAAGTAAGGCCAAGTGGTAGACTTATAAATATGTTAGATAGATTCGGGCAAGAAAAAATGTCTAGCATGACAGTGAACCAACTTTCTTACATGCAGACTTAACAATTGATTCAATATACTCCTTCCACTTTGTCAGCTGATAACATTCAAGAAGGCATAATGAGTCAATCACCTGGAGGTTAGCATCAGCCATGTTGATGGAAGGTAAATGGGTTCTCTCAGATGATTAAAAGAGAGTAGTTTAATTTTTGAAGCATTAAAATTTAACAAGCCACTTCATACCCCATCTAAGTACAGAATGTAAGTCATTTTTTAGATCAGCTGCCAATTTGACTTTATCAAACTGATCAGACTTAGACAGGAGTAAATAATTGTCATCAGCATAGAGACTGAGTTGAGAACTGATGACATCAGAAAGGTCATTTAAGAAAATTAGAGACAATGTCGGTTCAAGGATAGAGCCCTGGGAAACACCTTCATTTATGTAAAAGATCTAAAAGAGTGGCCATTCAAGCAACTTTCATTTTGCAATTTGATAAGAAAGACTGAATCAGTTCAAAAATTAATCCAATAATACCATGACCTCTTAACTTGCGAAGAAGAACAATATGCTAAACACTGTCAAATACAATAAATTGAATAAAGGGTGTGAGTCAAAATTCTGAGAAGGTTACTGAATACAAAGACAGGAAGCCAGCCAAAGATATCCAAAGACCAGAGGGTACAAAAGCCAAAACATTAGTATAACCAAGCTTACTGCATGCTAATAACAAAAGAGGCACCAAAATAAAATATCTTAACTTCTTGTTTGCTGCCTTGCATATACTTGATACTTAGCCTTTCCAATGATCAATGTTGGATCCAAGTTCCATAAAGAATGAAACTCATTTTATATATATATATATATATATATATATATATATATATATATATATATACACACACACACACACACACACAACACATATATGTATGTATATATATATACACACAAACACATATATTTTTCTCTCTCTCTCTATCTATCTATATATATATATATATATATATACACACACACATTCCAAAATTTGCTTGAGGATGAAACAGAGCTGGGTTTTTTTTAGCTTCTGTTTTTGAAACATGAGAACTCTTATGTAGCAATAGAATTATATTTTTAAAAAATAATTATTATATACATATATAATAATATTTAGCAACTGTTAGCACTAACACGTCGCTCTTCATTAATAAATAGAGCACTCTGGCTGTCTGGCATTTGTTTACATTTGTAAAAACAATACGCTGAATTCGTCTTTCTCTCTACTGAAGCACCAATGGCTTAGGGGTAGAAACTCTGACTGATACCAAATTGGTCATGTTTAGATGCTGGTTTGAAGCATTCAGTTGTCTAGTCACACTGTTGAACTATGATACAGCGAAAGAGGCCTGTATACGAATGACATTATACACACACACACACATATATATTTTATCACTTTAAACATTATTTTAGTGGATACTCATATTTGAGTAGACACTCTGTTTATTTATTAAGCAGTGTATTTATTAGTTTTAGTCTACTGGCCTGAATATTCAAGAAATCCTATTAAAGAAAAATATGCACTCTCTGGCAGGATTCGAACATGTTTCCCCTTTCGAGCTGTCAGATCCAACATACTTTAACTGAGTCGGCCATAAAGAACCTTGGCCAATCAAGCAAGCCTTAGTAGTGCCTTTAAGTGTACAAATTTTTTGTGGCCGAGTTGTTTAAAGCAAGTCTTATCTAATGGTGGCTCCCTCTAATGGGGATGAGGGGAGGTACAGGTTCAAATCCTGCCAGAAAGCACATATTTTTCTTTAATGAGATTTCTCAAATATTCAGACCAGTAGACGAAGATAAATAAATATACTTTTTAATAAATAAACGGAGTGTCTACTCAGATATGAAAATCCACTAAAAGTAACATTTAAAGTGATAAAATCTGTCGGATTAATAAATATGCAGTTATAATCTTTTTAAAAAATTTTAACCTCAGTTTTTTTGGTTTTTTTTTTTCTTTTGCTAGTTTTGTAGCTTTACGGTAATGTGATTTTAATTTTTTTTTTTTTTTTTTTTCAGGTCGTGGCACTAAATCCCATGCGTACACACACAGTGTACAAGATGGCCACAGAGTTTATCTCAATCTACAAACACAAAAGTTCTATTGTCTTCCTGATAATTACGAAATCATTGATTCTTCTCTAGAAGACATAATTGTAAGTACTAATAGGAGTTCATTATTATTATATACCAATTTAACCATACCATCTTTTATTGATAACAATACTTGAGTGAACTACAAAACCGTTAAAAACGTTCTATCCATTTAACTGTAAGCAGTAAATAATCTGGCAACTAAAAATTGTTTAAGACATAAATAAATTATGACATTTTATTTTTCATAATTTCTTTTCTGTTTGTCTCCTGAAAAAAATATCAGTCAGTTATCTGCCATGCGTGATATATGTGTAGGCAATCATGTATCTTTTGATACATAACTGACAAGGCAGATTTTTTTGTTCCCACAGTAGTTTGCCATTTCTTTCTGCAGTAGACCAGTTGCCATCCAAGGCTATAAAACCTGTTCTGTCCTTCTATTTACCCATAGCTGTGGGGAGAAGAGGATTCATACATTTCCCAAGGGTATTAGCACGAAAGTGAATGTAATGGATTCAACTGGAATTTGAACTCAGCTCAGCGATTCTTCAATCCAAGATGCTATCCATTACTCCACTGTAAAAAAATATAGTAATGTATAAAGAACAGACAAAATTATGTAAGTGATTCTTTTCTGTTATGGAATGTATGTGAGTGGTTGTGGGTCCACAAATATTGCCAAATAGGATATAATTATTACTTTGTGAAATTTTAAAGTCATTCAGTAAAGATAATTAATTTTAATTAACTTTAAGAAAACTGAAACTTGTTGAGAGGAGACAAATCTTAATTTCTAAACAATTTAATTTATGCTTTTCTCATGTCATATGCAGAGTTTGTACAGACCCTGGAAACTTTGAAATGTCCTGGGGTAAAATTGACGGGATCTTTTCCAGGACTTGAAAATCCTGGAAAAAGCAGCACTAACCTAAAAGCTCCTTGAAAATTTTATAAATTGGGCTGCCCACATATCCCTTTTCTCAATTCATGAAAGTCAAAATGACAAAATCCCAGAAATCTGGCTTTGTTATGAGCTAAAATTTTCCTTTAAGAAAAATGTTTTTTTAGTTGTCAGTAATATTTGGCAATTATTGTAAGCAGTGGTTTGTTTCTTTGATTAGAACTAGTTCACGACCTCGTAGTTACATATGTATTTTCTTGTCTAAATGACAAGAAAGAAACGAAGGCATGTCTTCTCCTAACTGCTACCCTCACTCAACAAGAAAAGAGGAAAAGCAAAGATAAAAAGCATCAGCGATAAGTAAACATCTCCATCAAAGATAAATGAATTCACACATTTGAAAAGAAAATAATAAATTATTTTACAGTAATAAAATACGTTTTAGTAGAATCTCAAAAAAATTTATCAGTGTTTTTTAAAAATTGAACAATTGAAGAAATTTTATTCAAATGTCAATTTTAAAAGTAAAATGTCCTTTTAATCTCTAATCAGGGGTGGATGAGTTCATGCTGAAAAAATAGATACTTTACGTGTCCTGTGTCACTATGTATAAACTACGTTTGTCTAAATTGTTGCCAAAAGTAACAAGTTTGAGAATCTTGACTCAAAGAAAATGTAGCTGGGAAGGATGATAGAATAGAAAATGTGTCTTTGATGTATCTTAGGATAGTAAATGCATCTTTGAAAAAATAAGAATGTTATTTTTAAAGTTTGCTAGCTTAATAATGACCTGTATCTGGCATTTGTTGTAAGTGTGAAAAATGATGAAATATATTAAAACTTATTTGGCTTTTATTGCTTGGCTTTAAAAATTCAATCTGGCAACCCTGTCCCTTTATTTTTGTATTTCTGCCTAAGATGGTGACAAAATGTACAAATGAGTGAATGACTCCTAAACATTTGGCCAGATGTCATCAAATTGAAACGGAAAAATGTCTCCAGACCAAGTCCTCTGCAGTGCTGTCAAATATGAATGACATTTTATATCCAGTGAAACTGCAGATTTTTGTGTGTTTAAAAAAAAATGTCGGAGCATTAAGCCATTGCTTTCTTTCCTTACAGATGATCTTTTTCACATGATCATGAAACTGTTAAGATTTGTAAAGGAAGCGCACTGTAAAAAGATAATTACATTTTTCAAACTGAATAAATTTGTAAGAATTTTGTCAAACCCAAACATGCATAAAGATGCTGGAAAGATCGAGTGTAGATTTCTGGCAGATAGGGCTATGCAAAATTGATCCAAAAAAGGGAAATGTGTCAATGAAAGATCTGTTTGCATGCAGAATTGCAACAAAGACAATGTTCATCACCATCATTGAAAAACTTCTGACAAAGTCTCCCCTTAGATACCCTCTTGTAAGGTCACTTACAAGACTGAACCTTGGACACATTTTGAAAAAAAAATTGTCACAGAAGACAATCTAAAAAGATGTCTTTCCCACATGACAGACAGAAAACAAATCAGTAAGTTTGAGCATGATGACGACATCTCTCAGTACAAAGAGGAGGAGGCTGCTGGAAATATTGCTTTCAAGAATTTCAGCAAACATGAAGACAGTCTGGACATTTTGTTCTATTCTTTATCTTGCTGTTAATAAAGAATATTAAAAATGTTGTTTGTCGATTACTGGTACTCATGGACAGGCCTCAGTGGAGAGAGTTTTCTCAGTCAATAAGGAAATTTTCACTGACAATATAAAACAGAAGATGCTGGGAATGTTCTCATGACTAAGGTTCTTCTCTGCAGGGCTTCCAATGCCAGAACAGGATACAACCAATACCTTGAGACAGAAGAAGAAAAAAAAGGCAGGAAGAAGCAGCTGGGCAAAAACAGAAATCCGTGCTTATGGAAATTGAAGAATTGCTCAAGTCAGCTGACTGCTATGCAGAAAAAACTGAGCAGACTCAGAACTTCACACTTATTGCAAAGTCCAATGCCAGGCAAAGGTCTTCAAAGAACAAATCCATAGAGATATCAAAATTAGAAGAGAAGCTGAATGCTTAACTAGATGAACTGAAAAAATGTTAACATCATTGTGTTCTGTGCCATGTGCAACAAAAGCCATGAGTAGTAGGGGTAGCTAAAATCTGTAGTCTTTTTGTGAAAATTTTTATTTATAGTTCTGTTCATTAAAACCATTATACGTAACTTTACAGGAAATGTGAAGCAGTCAAGAATTTTTGTGACATTCACAAACCATGACTAGTCTAGATAGCTGAAATATGTAACAGTAAGAATTAAATTGTGTAATTCAAAATTTTCAAGTGTAGTAAAACTCTAAACTATGCAGAATGCTACACAAAACATGTAACATAACCAGGTCTGCATTCAGTTGTGTTTTAGCCTTCAACACTTGGATTTCTTCACTGTTTTCAACTGATCCATGTGACATGAATTATTGGAACCAGCTGTAGCTTTTCTTTAGACATCTCATCTGTCAAACTATTAAAAGATAAATCACAAATTTGTGTTTTTAAAATTGATGACCATTCATTTTGTGTGTGTGTGCATACTTGCCAGTTTCAGTCCTTGAAGCTTCTTAACAAAAGTCCTTGAAAATCCTGGAATTTTTCTTACTCAGTTCTGTGGGAACCCTGCATGGTTGTTAATATCTGTCCATGAAGTGTATACATTATGTACAGACCCTTTGTGTATCTTGATATATACAAAGTGTTTTATGAAAATTAAATAAATTTATAAACTGTGCATTAAAGATGATATTAAAGTCTGTCTTCATGCTTTGCATTCTGATTGATTATTTGAAATTAATTATAATAATTATTTCTTCTATTTGTTTTTGCAGTATGTGCTTAACCCAACATTTGATAATGAACACATCAGCAAACTTGATGCAAATCCCAAGTTATCACGGGCATATGATGGGACAACCTATCTGCCAGGTCAGTGGACTTTGTTTAGATTTCTGTGCAATTAATCAAACTCTTATAACAACCGGCCATTTCGTCTACAAATGCCTATTTTATCAAGGGAAGCAACTGCAGATCTCATTAAATTTTATTTGATATCATATTGAGCTATAACTTTTGAATAGCCTTTCAAATTTGAAAGATTTACCCTGGAACTACTTAGTAATTACAACTACCATCTCCTGCTTGTGTTGCTAATTCAGTCAGTTATGTGCCATGCGTGATACATGTTTAGGCGATCATGTATCTTTTGATACAGGACTGATGAGGCAGATTTTTTCCTGCAGTAGGTTGCCATTTCTTTCTGCGGTAGACCAGTTGCCATCCAAGGCTACAGAACCTTGTCTGTCCTGCTATTTACCCATAGCTGGATGGGAGGAGAAGAGGATTCATACCTTTTTCCAAGGGTATTACCACATAAGTGAATGTAATGGATTTGACTGGAATTCAAACTCGGCCCTCCAATTCAGAGTTCAAATTCCAGTTGCTAATTAGGCTACTTATTTAGTGCACTAATATGATATTGCTGGTAAAATTTTCAGTTTCCTAGGACAAAAGAATATTAATTTGTTATTGCTCATTAATGCATTCAACTATAAACTTATAAGGGATCATGTGTTGTTTCTCTTTATATGGAGACTTTTCTTTTTTACAGTGAGGTTCACTCTATACAAGGCTCAAGAGTCATTCAAGGTAGAAGGTTACAGAGTAAGAGACATTATTTATGCGGATGGGTAGGAAGGATAATGGTTAACCCTAGACTTGAACAGGTTAAGATTGTAGTGATTGGGGAAGCATCCTCTTGGGAGTCGGTTTCACAGGAAGAAGCTGCTTGTCTGAAACTTGCTTCTCACCAATGAAATATGAAGGGAATGAAGATAGTTTGCTACAATATGTGTGGCATGATCGGTCATAGCTGTGAAAGTCAGAATTGGTGGAACTAAGGAATGTAGTTCATCTGAGCACTTTCCATGGAAGTAGCGCTAGAACAGTGATAGGCATGCTGCATCTCATCTATATGAGAGGGGTTGCAGAGTGCAAAATAATGTTACCCACAAGGGCATGTAAATGCTTTTTTTTCATGCCACGCATATTGTAGCAAACTATCTTCATTCCCTTCATATTGGAAAGTGAGGACTGGGCAGCTCCTGTCCAAATATAACAGAACTACTTCATTTTAGGCCTGATCTGGCTCTTGTAAAGGTAGAGGGTAGTATGAGCAGTCAGGTACTTGCTGGAGCAGTGCAAGGAACCAACCATTTTTCTTATATCTTTAGTGATGAGGTTTGGGTTGAGTTTGAGGCCCGATAGTCACTCAAGACACAGGGCCTTCCCAAGGGAACATCTATTCATCGTGACTGGCGGTAGTAATTCAGGGTCCAATCAGTGATGATAAAATGTAACTAGTTTGGTTTTCGAGGCATTGAATGTAACCAGTCAGTTTTTCCCCACTGAGCTGTTTGAGCTAAATCAGAGGAGAGATCAGCTGCCAATCTCTGGTCATCACAGGTTTTGATGGTGCACCCATATATCATATCATCAGCATAGATATTCACAAATGATTGGAGTATACTCTTAGATTACATTTATGCAAAATAAAAAGAGGTTTGGTTCTTAAAGTGACCCCAGGGGGATGCCTGCGTCGATTGCTAGAGTTCTGGGGGACTTTCCAAAAGGAGTGTGTTTATATCTATCTATCAACCAGAATACATTGTGAGAATAGAGTTTATAACAGGATTCCCAAACAACTTTTCTTTTGGGGAACTGAAGACAAAAAAATTTCCACAAGCCCAAGAAGAGGTTTAAAGATCATCTGAATGCATTGTGGACATAGACTTTAAATCAGATTGTATAAAGAAATTAACAAAACTACTGAAGTGGTAATTACACAAACTGTGATTATCTGTCTATATTTCTGAGATAAGGTATTGTAACTACTTACACTATTTACATTGTTTCAGCTGTTGTACGCTCCGGCCTTCTTCAAGTGATATTAATTGGAATTTTGATTTGAAATTCCAATTAATATCACCTGAAGAATACTGGTGCGTATAATGGCTGAAACATTGTGAATATGGCACTAAAGATGAGGATAACAGTCCGAACAATGTAAATAGTGTAAAACTGTGCTTACTTAAAATATCATTAAGCAACAGGAACAAAATCCTTGTGGATTTGATAGGTTTTTTTTCCATTCAAAAATAAGTGAATCCACTTTGCTTCTTATTGTTCAGATTCTTATAAGAATTTACAAAAAATAAAGATGAAAAGCAGTATTGTTTGCTAGAAATAGACCTGCAAAAATTGTTCAGTGGATCACTAAATGTAACAGTTCTTGACAATGTCTATAATTTAAGAAAGTACATAATGATAAACAGCTATTTGGATATTTTGGATTATGAACAGTTAAATTAAGTTAAAACAAAGTAAAAATGATATGATTTTCAAATTTAGAAGTGGAGCAATCAGTTTAAAATCAACTGAGAAAGTCTTCTTTATGTACCATGTCCCCCCAGGATATAGGCAATCATGACTCTCCACAACTTCTTGTCCTTTGTAGCTCTTAATAAATTTTATCTTTTTGTTATTTCTCCTAAACCCTGTTCAGTCATCCATTTACTCAAGCTCACTCAGTATATCATATGCTGTTTTCCTCTGTCTTTCTTGCCTTCAATCTGTCCTGTGAGTATCAGATTTCCCAAGCCCTTCTTCCTCATTATGTGCCCTAGAAACCTTGACTCTCTCTTCTTGGTGTTAAGTATGTTTCCTTTTTGTTTCCATTTTCTCTTTAAAAAAAAAAAAAAATGTTCCCAGTATTTCCACTGAAATGGAATTAGTTTCCACATTTCGTATAAATATCATGGTAAGAAAATTGTCTTGATCTCATACTTCAATGTGTAGAGTAAGTGGACATAGTTAAATGTAAATGGCAGAACTGCCTAACAAACAGAATTGACAAAGTTTGTAATAAACAATAATAAGAAAAGAATAGGGCAAAAAAAATAATATTGAGCAAGCAAACAATATATGCAAGACAAAGCAGCAGTAATAAGACAAGAAGTTCACAAACTAAGAATTGGTCTTGACAAACGAGAAAATTTGGATAAATGAACATAGCGTTCTGGCTTCAAAAAAAGACAGACAAGGACTGAGTCGGGAGACCAAGAAGTGGCTTATCTTATTGGCTAGGGGGAAATTCCAGCATGCATTTGTGTGGTTTTGCCTATAAATTGGGGAAGAGGAGTATTTTACAGTCATTCACAGTGTAGATTTTTATTTTTTACTTTTTCTATTGGTTGAGTTTGATGCAATTTCTTTTTGAGCATACTCAATTTGTCAGATTTTTCCTTACTTACCCATTTTATTTTCATTCAGAGAATAATTTGAACTTTTTACTGTAACCTTCCTTGTTCAAAATGAATGAAGAAGATTTCAGTAGGGTGGTAAAGACCCTATTTGGCACCCCTGAAAAAGGGAGAAATGAAGGTGAAAGACGCAGCCAAGACCCCCACAAACTGGTGAATCTATAAAGGATATGAGGAAAGGATCCAAATCAAGTACTTGGAATTTGCCACCACTTTGTTTTATCGATGTGGAAGAATTTATCAACCACCCAAAACAATATGCTCACCTGGTTAAACCAGATGGATTAATCATAAATCCACCAAACTTGGAAGTAATGGAACACGGGATCATCACAGTATTTGTGGTTGATAAAAAACAAAGCAAAATTGTTAGGACAAGGAATATGTTATAAAAACATTGGCAGAATTTAGTGTAAATCTACAACAAATTGTAAAAGGCAAAGACTTCCTATGTGGGAGGTACTTCTTCCCATGACAGAAGATTGTCTAGCTCTGGCTAAAAAGGACCTGCAGTATTCTAAGAGTAGAATACAAAGGTTAGAAATGTACTCAGATCAAAGCTTTTGAAGTGCCCAGTTTTATCCCGGGCCAGCAGGTTGGCACCTTCTTAATGCAATATGGAACCATCTGAAGATCAACCCAGACAGGAAAATGCAAGAATGACATAATGATGGACAGCAAGGGCTTCGATATCCCCCCCCCCAACGGGATGGATACGATGACAGGAGAGTATCTGTGATTGTCTCAGGTTGAAAGCTGGCTTGCTGGCATTGCGGTGAAAGTGGTCACTTGTCTGCCCCCCCCAAAACAAAGATGGATATCATGAAACAAATTGATTCCTTACCCACCAGTGAGATGAACAAAACAGAGAGAAACAAAAATCAAGATGGCACCATCTTCTTCAGTGGTTGAAAAAGTGAAGATTGGAAGGTTGTCACAAAAAAAAAGGAAAAAGCAATCGCCCCCTCCAACCCTGCCGGGGACCTACTGTTGATGAACCAACAAAATCTTATGCAGAGATAATTCAAGCAACTCTAGCAGCAATACCAATACTAAGTGTAAGTTTTTCAAAATAGTAAAAAAAGAATAGTTTTTACTGATCAATTGGGGGTCCAAGCACTAAGAAAGTGTAGAAATACATTTATATAGTGAAGGTGCCAGCAATACATTTTTGTAAGGAAAAAAAAATATATTACCAGCAATACATTGTAAAAGAAATTAATAATGCTCCCAAGAAAATTAAATTTCGGCATTAAATGACTCATAAGGAGTTGATGTGCCATTAAACAAAACAAAAACTGATCAAGAAAAAACTTGATTCTACCAAGAACAATACAGAGGAGGAAGTTGCTTCCCCTCAGCAAAATGTCTTCCCACAAAAAGTAAATATTCATCTTCATAATGTATTAGAACTGCCTCACTCCATAAAGAAAAGAGACCTATGACCCAAAAATCCATATCCTCCACCTGATCTTCTTATTCCCCCACTCCAAAATCCTCATCCTTAAGAAAAACTAATTCATCCATCACATTACCCAATCCACCATTCATTCCACCACCTCCTCCTGCACCACCATCACCAGCAACAAAGTAAAAGATCATAGTGCTCCTCTGTGGGGAGCTCAGAAGAGGAGTTACCTTACAAAAAAAAAAGCACTGAACATAAAAGTAAATTAGGGGAAGACATCTGCCATCTGGTAAAGAAAAACCTACAAACACAAAGACTGAAAGAACTCAGGGTCCTCCAAAACTTTAAAAATATGGAGGACCCTAGGAATTTCCCTAGTGTCAGTATTAACATTTCTTCTGATGTAAAAAAAAAACTTTTGTGAGTTTATTACCAGGCTCAATCTGGTTGATAAATTCTGAAATGAACATCTGAAGCAGATAGTGGATAGGGACAGAGAGGGACGGCCTGGGCACAATGCAGCATTCTAGCTACAGCAGCCAAGTTCTAGTTAGGAGAGTTGACTTAGATCTCCTAGGTTGTCCAAGTTTCCATAGTGTAGTTTATTTGGACCATAGACTTGTCTGAGTTCACATAAACTTAGATAAGGCTAAGCTTAGTTTGGCTTGAAATTTGATACTTCTTTGTTGAACATGAAGGATTTCTGGGACCAGCTGTTACTAGCAATACATGGGGAACTGACAGGTTCTGTGTTTGGGAATAAGTTATGGAGACACCTTAAAGATACCATTAAGTCTTTTGCTGCCAATTATAGCAAGAGACTCAATCTAGATAGACTAGCAGCACAAAAGGCACTAGAATCTAGAACAGACGGTACTGTGAAATCAGGATATAGCAATAAGGTAGCATTAGCTAAGGCAGAGCTCGCCTCCTTGCTTATTAAGAAGGATCAATGTAGTTAGAGCTAGGTTAAAAAGAATGTCTACTGAGGCAACAAATATGGCTGCATAATTGTGTGCAGAGAAACTTTGTTGTGCCTTTGTACATTGCATGTGTCGTATTGCCAGTTAAGAGAACACTAATGAGGGCATATGCAAGGAGTTTCATACCAATGCCATGGTACAGGTGAATGGGAATGCTTTGAGCATTTTTGTGCTGTCACTGTCAGTTTGTCAGGGTTGTCCGCTGTTGCCTCCACTTTGTCTTGTCACTGGAACCTCTTCTGTACTGGCTAAGGGACAGGACATTCAGTCTGACCCTATGTGAATTCAGTCTCCCAGGAGGGTCTCAAGCCAAGGTTTCCATGTACACTGATGATTTATCCATTTTTGTGTCATGTTGTGCCACAGCGACATTGAGGTGGTGCAGAAGGCACTTGAACAGTATGAGAAGGTCATGGGGACCAACATTAATCATGTCAAGTTCCAGCTTGCAGTTAGGTGCTTGAAAGGACATAGCTCTTCCAGAGCACTTCATTTGAACTGACAGTCCCATCTGCATTCTTGAGTGTGGTTCAGGTTTGATCTCCAGCTGGAGAAGAATTTGTGAGAAGTACTAGCAAAGGTAGGAGCATCAACCTGGATTTGGCTCTGAAGGTGGTGGTCCTTATGTGTTGGGCTTAGGTGTGTTCTGTGTACATCTTTCCCCTCATCCTTTACTAAATGTCAGTACTCTTTTTCTGCAAGGGATGTCAGAAGGTGGTCGATCACTTGTTTGTCTCCCTTTGGGTGGGGATGGGGGCATGCTAAGGTCGGCAAAGCCATCTGTGTCCATCATCTGTGTCAAGGGGAGCTGGGAATGCCATATTTGGTGAGTCACCGTCATGCCTTAAGGTTGGTTTTCCTACCTTGCATATGTGTGCAATAATGTGTCACCACTGTAGTCTCAGGTGAAACGAATCGTGTTTCTTACGCTACTAGCCATGGCAAGAATGGTGTGGGTGATGCAGATGAATAGAATCTTATGAAATGAACAACAGATTTGACTGGATTCTTTGGCCATCAGCTCAGTGAAGATCAGAACTGATAGAAAGCATTTGCTCTTGACAGATTTCCGCAAAACCTGGGTAAAAGTTGCAATCCTGATTCATGTGAATCGGGCCAATCTTGATTTCCTTTTTTAGTTCTCTATACTCACAATGGTGCGAATTCCTGATGGACCCCAATTCCTGTTTAAGCTAGACTCTTTTTGTTCACCTAATTAATATGATTTAAAAAAGTGTTACTCGAACAATACAAATCCAACTGAAACTGGAACAAGCTCATTATTCAACAGCATGCTTATGCTTAACAGACAAACAGATAATGATTTTTTTTAATTTTTAGATTGCATACAAACTTTATCTTGCAAGTATTATTTTGGAGGTGCTGAAAGGTTCACTTCTAACAAAAAATGATTAAACATGAGATTCCTTTAATTTTATGGCCTTTTTTTTTTCAGCACCCTCTCATAATCTCAATTATTTCTTTTTATGAAGTTACCATTTTTATTTTTCCAATGATTTTACTATTATAATGGTGAGAAATGAGTTTTTTTTTATTTTTCATTATAATCATTGACACTTCTTTTTTCTACAGGTATTGTCGGTCTCAATAACATAAAAGCAAATGATTATTGCAATGTAATATTGCAGGTAAGGTATAAATTTTCTCGAAATATTACACTTGTTTTCAAAAAACATCTTTGATATTTGCATATTCAACTATTCCTATTTAATCTCTCCTGCTATCATTTGTAGTTGAGTAAAACTTCTTGCCAACTGAAATAACCTTTACTCAAATTCTGCAGCTTGAAAAACAGTTATATACAGGGTGCTTTGGGTAAATTGTCGCCATTTTATCTTTTTAATTTTGCACATGTGCATTGTTTGTTTTTGATTTTGTCGACTGCACAGTATAATAAGATTAATTGGGCACTATCTGTGAGAAAAAGGACACTATGATGCAATTTGCTCTGTCAGAAATTTGGAAACAGCATGCTTTACTGCTTGGCATTCGTGCCAGAAGCTCCAATACAAACATTTCAGTGTTTGGTTGTCAATCTGAGGACATTGCAAAGGATTTGGAAAGAGTTGGATGAATCTAATGGTGATTACAAAGGTACATCAGCTCAGAAAACTCACTCTGATTGTTCTGATAAAAAAGAACTGCCAAATTTATTGGTTGGGGCTTCAGATTCAATACAGAGGCCTACATCAAGTGCCTTGAGGAGGTAGTGTTGCCCTAGGTCAAGAGGGTGGCTTAGCAACAGGAATCTGCACCATGCCACACAAGCAGGAGAACCCAGTCATGGCTGTCGGGCAATTTCTGCAACCATCTCACCTCTTTCCCAAGACTTTAAACCCCTTGATGTGTAGGGTGCAGCTGAGCAAGAGACAACAAAACTCCTTGTAACACCAAAGATGAACTGAAGGCAAGAATTATGGCACCATTCACCAATTTAAACAAGGAGACTGTCTGAAGTCGTCTGGAGGCGGTGGTTGAAGTCAATGGCGAATTTTATTGAATAAATTTACTCTTTAGTATTTCAAGATATTTTTGTGTAATTTTACCAAATATATCTGATAAAATGAAATGTCAGTGATATTTTCATTTTTATGTAATTTAGACGACAATTTATCCATCGCACCCTGTATTTGTTGTAATTGGGAGTTTAGATTTAAGCAAATTTAAAAAAAAATGTATCACAGAATTTCTTTGTTAATGAGTATATTCATTTAAAAAGAAAACTTGTTTGCTAATTCTTCATTTAGTGGTTTTTATGATGGAATTATTATTTATGGGTGTTACTGTAATTGCTAGAAAACTGGTAGGTAAATGAATTTCATTTAGAATTGCTTTTCTTTTACTGCATTATCAGATATTATATTTTTTATCAAATTCTGCCTTTAATGAAAAAATAACGTTGACTTTTGAATATTAAAGACTATTGATATAGTTTAGCAAATTACAGAGTAGTCTCCCCTTATGGTCATTAATATTCATGGGTTGACTTTGCGCAACATTTTCAGTGTTTATTTCAGTACATCAAAACAAAAGTTTTGTTAGAGCAATACTGTTTGAAGAATAAAGCAATTTCCTGCCCAATTTTGAGTATCGTAAAGATGAAAATAAAGCAACCAGATAATGATCTGATTTCTATGTGTAACTTTGTTATAAAGACTGAAACGAGAATCATATCAACGTTGGAAGAAGAAATAGAAAGAAAATATTACGAATTGTTATGAAATAATGATACTTTTTATTTCATAATATTTTTTGTTTTCATACAAGAATAATATTTTTTTTACAAAATATCTCGTTATTTTATACAAAAACTATTAAACATTTTTTTTTATCTTTCCATCTTCCATCATTTAATATTTCTACACTTTATTACAAAAAACAATTCTTATAAATTATAAGCATGTATTTTCGAAAAATCATTTAACTTTTGCTGATTAGTAGAAGTAGGGAGAGATACTGAAAAGTTCTCAACTTGACCCATTACCACAGATTTGATTAAATGACCAATCATTTTTACATTTATTTTATATTTATTCATTTTAGTTATTGATCGGAAGCATCTTTAAACTGAGTAGTCTTATTTAAAGATATAGTTTGGCAAATTACAGAGTAGTCTCCCCATATTTATCTATTTGCAAATATTTATAATATAAATTTTATAAGTAGGTAGTAACTTAACATTGAATTCAATGCCTACTTTCATTTGTCATTAAGCAAATAATAAAACAGCCAATAACCCCAAATATGCAAATCTAAACTTGAGGAATTGATGTAAATTATGGGAATATAAATTTATAAGCATTAAAGTAAGATAGAAAGCTGCTGAAGTTTTCAGTTCAACCACCTTCCCAAAATCTGACCAAATATCATATATTTTTTTTGTTTTTGTTTTTTTAAGCATTTCACCCCAAGCAAGGCGGGAAGCCACTAGTATGCAAGGGGCTACAGAGGATTTGGAGTGAGAGCAGGTAGGAGTGATAGAGGAAAGGATGAGGAGAAGGATAGTGGATAGATCAAAATGTCGATTGACATTACATTTGAATAGTTGGAGATTATAGCTATCAGGGAAGCAGGAATAGGGAAGGGAGTTCCACAGGCAAGAGGTGTGAGATATGAAGCTATTGGAGTAGAAGAGATGGCTACATTTAACAGTTTCAACAATGAAAGGGTGAGAGTGGGATGCCAGCCTTGTAGGACGCTTGAATTCATGAAGTCTGGGAACCAGCGAAAGCAGCTCCTCGGAGCAATTACCATGAAAGTATTTGTAAAAAAGACAGAGAGAGGTGATGGCACATCTGTGAGAGAGTGACTGCAGACGACATGCCAGATCATGCCAATTACATAGCATATCCATCTCTGGATCTTATCAAGAACTCCAAGGCAAACAGAGGGGCTCCAGATCATGTATGGCAGCAATACTCCATGCAAAGGCATATGGTTGATTTGTAGATTTGAAGGATTGATTCCAGGGAGAAAAATTTTCTGGCGTGGCACAGGGAGCCAACTTTCCTTGCGGTGGACGAAGCAATTGACAATGTATTTGTTCCATCTCAGGTCAGCAAACAACGTGAGACTGAGCAGCCGCAGAGAGGTGCTCTCGAGAAGTTGAGTGTCAGACATACTAATGGGGGGCAGAGATAAGTTAATCTGAAGAGATCAGGTGTGAAAGTTCAAAACTTTTGTTTTGAAGCTTTAAATGGAAATTATCAGTGTTTTCTATTTTATGGATATCTTTATCTGCTAGTATTTTTTACAAAAAAAATTAAACTGGCATTGTATCAAGATCTAGTTGACATTTTAACATAATCCGTTGAATCAAAGAATGATTAAAAGAAAAAATTTTGTTTGGATTTGCTTTCTTTACCAGTAACTATTTTTTTTTTTTTATTTGCAAAGGCGTTGTCCCATGTTCCTCCTCTGCGAAACTACTTTCTTCAAGAAGAAAACTACAAAACCATTCGCAGGCCACCTGGAGACCAAATGTTCCTCCTTGTACAGAGGTTTGGAGAGCTCTTACGCAAGTTGTGGAACCCACGTAATTTCAAAGCTCATGTCAGTCCCCATGAAATGCTTCAGGCTGTTGTCCTCTGCAGTAAAAAGAAATTTCAAATTACAGAACAAGGTAAGCTATTTCATTAGGTTTTGTTTTAACTCAAAATTTTGTTTATATCAATGCAAAACAAACTTGATTTTTGTTAAAAGAAAGGTATATTGAATTCAATTTTTATAATTAGTGTCAGAGAAGCCACATTCAAAATAAGATATTTGGCTTACTTGATTTCTTTGTAGAAGAGAAATTTACATAAGCAGTAAACATGCTTGGGTAGAATCACTGTTTAACCTGAATACTCAAAAAAGCAAACTTTATCAAATTGACAGTTTTTAATATATCCTCCTCAGTAATGTTCATTTACAAAATTATAAAAATGTGAACCAATTGCAATGCAGTATTTATTACTTACCATTTTATAAATAAATAACAGAAAACAATATTTTTATTCATAAATTTATAAAACTATCTATTCTATATAATATATATATATAGAACAAGAAAATTTAAATAAACCTATGATTTTTCCAGACATTTTCTTCTCAGATTATTTTGTATCTGAAGTTATTTCTTGTTTTAATTTTCATGGTGAAAACAAATGAAAGAAATCTCTAGAAAATGTTTTTTTTTTTTTTTAAATTTATAATTACAGTTACTCATCATTATGTGTTTATTTAAATTTTCTTGTTCATAGATATTTTTATACGTTTTTGAATAAAAAAATTATTTTCATATTTATTTCTTTATATAATGGTGAATATTTTCATTGTAATTGGTTCATATATTTTCATAATCTTGTAAATATAAAATTATTATAAATAAATAGCGTTTAACATTTTTGTTTTCAATCCACTTTCATGTGTTTGGGTTTAATTAAAATTCTAAACATTACATTTTAAAACAGTAAATATTGCCGCAGGAGTCAAAGGATTATAAAGCAATAGCAATGTCAATCGTATAACCGTCTTTTTGACATCCTATTTATTTTTGCAGGTATGAGGGTTAAACTTTGCCAATCATTCATCAGAAGAGTTTTTATAATATTAAGTTATGGTGTTGTTAGTCAATGCTTTCCAATTTTAGATATTTGCAAGATGAGGCTAAATTTTCATACAAAGACATCTTTATGGCGTACTTAGTGAGGGATGAATTCATAAGCAGTAGCCTGTGGGATTAGTTTATTAACCATGTCCCTATGACCAATGCTCTATCTCTAATTTTATGTCCCCTACAAATATATCTGAAATTATTTTGTGTGTTTCATAGAATGCCTACTTCCAATTTTCCACCCATTCCTTTTCAATGTCAAATTTTCTTAGGTGCAGTAAATTTTCATTCTTTATTGTGAACAAATGCTCTCATAATATAGCTTGATCAAAAGACACATTTCACATAACACATTTTCCGGCTTACAAGACGCTGCAGCTTGAAAGACACGCCCTGATATTGGAAAGAAATTTCTAAGAAAAAAAAAAAGTCATTCTCATACAACAACACATTCACCATGCGTTCATCACATACTAGCACCACATATTGTTTACCTTAATCACTCATTTGATTCTGTTTGTATTGCAATGACATACTAGTTGAGCAGAAAGGCTCCCGCCACTGCTAGTAAACAGAACATGTTTAAGCTTGTGGCTCAGCTCCAGGAAGGTTTATAGTGTTGCAAATACTTGTAACAGCTAAGTACTGAGGTTACATGATATACATGGCTGAATTAGAGAGATAGCTAACATTATAATGTAATGACTTAACATATAATTCCACGTCCTTATCAGTCAAGCCATTTAGGTGACCGTCCAAACTTACTTGAGCCTGGGCCTTGCCTTACATTCATCTTGGAAGATGCACACGTATTTTTCAGGGGAAAAAAGTGTCTTGTAAGCCGGAAAATACAGTAATTCATAACATGAAGTGATTAAATTAAGCCACCAAGTATCTGTAAGCATACAAGTAAATACATTTCAAGGAATCACATGACTAAATGCACACAATGCTAATATGATTTCAACTATGCATATATAAAACTAGCAGTAGAGCCCGGCGTAGCCCGGGGATGTAACAGTAAGAGATAGATCAAGTATCGACCATCATAAAGACTGAAAAATAAAATTGTCAAAGATTATTGTTTAAGGTTGATGGACACGCATGTCTTAATTAGTTTTATTTATTTATTGTTTTTTTTTTTTTTACGAATTGGTCAAAGCCAAACTCAAGCAAAAACATTGTTTTCAATCGTTATGAGTCTACCGATTGAATAGAATAGAATTTTATTATAAACAATTGTCTTCTAAATGGAATTTTTAAAGCATTCTGAATGTAAAAATAAAGAAAAAAAATGTGCAAGACAATAAGAAACACTACCTGCCCCAAAAAAGGGAAGTTTTGTTGAAATCGGTTGAAAAATGTAAGAAATCCGATCCCATATATAAACGAACACACACACACACATACATACACACAAACAACCTGGGTTTTATAATAAGTATAACTTGATATGAGTTGTCCCCCTTCCATTCTCGCGATGCCTCTTAATAGTGTTTTCAAATTGATTTCGTGCAAAAACAATTGTGTTTTTCCAATTTTTGGCGCTGTCAGAACCACCGCAAGATAATTTTACATAGTCCTGTGAAGTTTTGTTGAAATCGGTTGAAAAATGTAGGAAATCTGATTCAATATATAAACGTACAGACACACACACACACACACACACAACCTGGGTTTTATAATAAGTATGATGACCGGTAAACATTTCTTACAAACAAGAGTATTTTTCACAGTACATTCATACTCAAATACTTCTCTTTTTTTTTTCATAATCAAAAATAGTAAGTTGTTTTGAACCAAGAAAAGTTGTACCTTGTTCAACTCAGAAAATCTGAAATAAGAAAACCTTGTCTTCTGAACAACCTCTGTTTTTTTTTTTTTTTTCTTTTCATTCTAACATCCCAAATAAAATGATGGCTATCAACCACTTCATAAAGTTTTTTTTTTTTTTACTGTTATCACTAGACGACCACTGACTGACATCAAATTAATATTATTACATCATTATTATTATTATTCCAGCATATGAAACCTTTCAGTTTCATTCTAATGTGCTATTTCTGGGTGTATTTCATAGCACTGAATATCATTTGTCTGAAACCTGGCTTCATCAAAAGTGTTAAATCAAATCTTCATTTTGTCTGAATGATTCCCTTCATTGAAAAATCCAAACATAGAAAATCAAATAACTGTTATACCTGGGGTTTTTCGAAATTATGTATCATTTAGAAATTACACTTGTTAATTTGATTATTGCTTATTTACAATAATGAATGATTAATAACAAGTCAGTTGGTTTATGTAAAAGGATTATTTAATGCTGAACTTTGTTAAAGCCAAAAAACTAATTGTTATTTTTTCACAGCAACAAAAATATAAATATTAAAATAAATAAAAAGAGTAGTATGAATTATTAAGGTAACTTTTTCAATATTTAATTTATTTATGCATGTATTTTTTGTTACAGTTTTTTGGGTATATACTGTATATAACTAGTGAGCAAGTCAAAATGACTTATTTCCCTTTATAGTCGACCAATAGAAGGTTGACCAATCAGAAGCCGCACAACACTGTGTCCGTCGTGTATAAAGGCGGCCATCTTTGTTTTCTTACTGGAATGACCAGAGGCAACTTGTCCGGCGAACAGGACAGACGGAAGAACTACGCTCTGCTACCTTGCTGTGATATCCACTGTGAACCTGCTTTCCTACTGTCTCCGAAATATTCACTGCCAACCTCTGGATTCTATACTTGAAGACGACTGTCAAGAAAATGTCTAACATTTTTTTTACCATGGCAGATAATAAAGTCACAATTTTGGCTAAGAAAAAAAGATACAGGAAAAAAGTCACAACTTGGTTTTGTGAGTGACATGTTTGGTATACACAAATCCATTATAGCAAATTTTTGAACTAGGCTTATTACTGTCACTAATTTCCATAGCAGGAAGTGTAGTGGAGATATGAGATTACCACTATTCACACTGTCTTTAGGGTTAGAAATAGTGACATACTATAGAGAAGAACACGGTTATATACTGTACTAGCAGCATGGTCCGGCATTGCCCGTGCTTGATTCAAAAATCGTACGACTCATGCAGCAATCGCTATCACTTAAAATATTTTTGCTCTTCATTGCCTTTAAAGGAGTGCCCTTTGCCGTGCTGATGTTGCTACATGCTTTACTTCTTGCCTATCTCACACCGCGGTTTTTTCTAAGCTCTATACTAAACATTAAATCTGTTACGAAAAAAAAGAACTAAACAAAATGAACACAAAACGATCAGCTTTAAAAAGGACTCATAACTGAAAAAACCGAATGAAAAAGAATGTTAACAACAAATACTTTTTCACGCCCAACCCAGTTCTGCAGAATCAGAATCAACATTGAGTTTAAGCGTTTAATGAGCCAATTGGAGTAAAGTGCCATGCAGATTTAAATTTTTCCCACTTGTGATTTAATGCAGCTATCGATTTTTTTTTTTTTTTTGCATGCTAGCATGGTAGTTATCATTCATGTCAGTCAGCTGTTGGCTCTCACGCTGACCAATAGAATCTTCCTGCCTATTTGTGGCATCCAGCTATAGGCTCTCACTCTGGCCAGTACAAAATGGCCACAAACTACATGAAAACTGCTGTAGAAGCATGAAAAAATCGTTTATTTCCACTATCGATGAGAGTTGGTAAATGCAAAGTTGGTCTTGGCCTTCCCACTAACTTGGAGCATGTGCATGTAAATTTTGGTGCAAATTCGTCGAAAATTGCAGCCGTGCAGTCATTACACACACATCCTGCCTTTTATAGATAGAGATATAGGCAGGTCATCTCAATGTGGCTTCACGCCATTTGATGAAGTGAAGATTTAATGATTTTAGTGAAGCCAGTTTTCAGACAGATGACATTCCTTTTTCTGATTGCCCCCCCCTGGTATTTCAATAAATCCTCTCAGAGGCAGGATATGGCAAGCCTCTCACTGCTCTATCACTACTTCCATGAAAAGTTCCAAGACAAACTACATTCCTTGATTTTGCCAGTTCTAACCTTCATAACTAAGGCCTGCCATTCCACACACATTGTAACAAACCCCACCCACATTCCCTCTGTATTCCACTGGTGTGAAGTAAGTTCTTCTTGAAAAGTTTCTTCCTGCGAACCACTGCTCTTTGGAATTGACTCCCAAGAGGATGTTTCCCACAATCTTAACCTGTTCAAATCTAGGTTTAACCATTATCTTCGTTTATTATCCACATAAACCACTCTACCTTAAGTGGCTCCTGGGCCTTACTGTAAAAAAATATATTTGTCTACTCTGATGATTAATTTTTCATTCAATTATTTTCTAATCTTTTATTCTTACAGGTGATGCAGTAGACTACATGTCATGGTTTCTAAATTCTCTGCATTCTGCCTTGGGTGGAAATAAAAAGTTGAACAGTAGTATTATTAATAAAACATTCCGTGGAAAGATGACAGTCTACTCCAGAATGGTTCCCCCTCTTGACTTGGTGAGACTCTTTTGTTTTATCTTTTTTAATACTTCTTACCAAACGGTAGAATGCCAGGATTAGTATATTGTAATCATCACCATCCCTTTTTTTATTTTATTTTCTTATGTTCCTTCAGAGCATAAGCAATTGTTGCTCTCAACATATTCATTTTCTTCATTATCTGGGACTTGACATGTATTCTTCGGAAAGATAGAATGGTTTCCTATTGCCTCCTCCATGGTTTGGAAATCAATGTTTGACTTCTTTTAGAAGTTTTTAGGCTGGTTTCTACCCAAGATTAGAAATCCCAGTCTACCCTGCTATTTAACCCATATCTAGGTGCCAGGAAGACAGATTTATGTCTTTCCTAGGCACATTTGTGTGAAAGGTGAACAACACCTGCCTGGCCCAAATTTTGAACTCTGTTCACTGGTCCCACATTTCACCCTTTCCACCGTTAAGCTAACCACACAATTTTGGTTGTTGACACACCTAATCTACTTATATTCTTGTAATCTATAATAAGTATTAACTATTATCACCAAGTTTCAGATCTGTACATGCAATATCCTTGGACATATGAATGTCAGAATTTCATTGAAAGCTTTATTTAGTAAAACACAAAAAATGCAGTGAAATTTCAAGATGCTCTATTTTTAAAACTATTAAAGATATGTATCTAATATTTGGGATTTATCAATAAATAAATTAAGAAGCACTTGTAAAGCGGGTGCGGTTACCTGTGGCTGCTGGTTAATTTGAGATGGAATAACTTCTCTCTCTCTCTCTCTCTCTATATATATATATATATATTTCCCTTCTCCTGTTTCCCTGAGAGTTATAATCTCCAGCTATTCAAGTGTAATAATCAATCGACATCTCCAGTTGCCTTAATCTATCTACTACCCTCATTCTTTCTTCTATCACTCCTATCTGATCTTCCTATTTTCTGTAACCCCTTGCGCCCTAGTGGCTTTCGCCTTGCTTGAGGTGAAATGCTTAAAAAAAAAAAATATATATATATATATATATATATATATATATATATATATATATAATAATGTGTGAATGTCAGTGTGTCATACTTTTTCAACTTTACTCTTAGAGGCTGTAGCCCAACATATCATACCATTTTAGAATCAGGCCAACTCCATAAGCAAAATTAAAATCAATCCAGGCTGGATCCAGACCTGCAGTCCTGAAATTTCAGATTTCCAAGTTTTTATTATTGCGATTGTTTTCAGCTATTTGTTTTTTTTTTTTTAAATGTGATTTTTTATATGATAAAGATTTTTATAACTTGGAAATAAATTTGGGAATAATCAAAATTAGTTACAAAATCCTGCGAAACTCACCCATGAAATAAAAATAATTCTTTGTATGGAAAGTAAGGACTTACATACATCAAATTGTCTTTAAATTAAGTGGCAGCAGAAGAATTATTGTTGAACTTTTTAAAAGATAAGCGTAAATATCAATACAATACTTAAATGAAGCAATCAATTTTGAGTACTTAAGCAGTTTATTGTTACCTAGCTCATACGACAGCAGGATGCCTTGCAAAATAAATCTCTGCCAACAGAGGACCAGATTGCAATCAAAAGAGCCAAGGCTGCAATGAGGAAAAGAAAGTCCTGTGCAAATAAGAACTCCGATCAAACGGCAGTCACTAGACACACCAATACTGACAATAGGGAAAGACTTAGGGAAGCCAAAAGCCCAATCAAGAGCCCTCCACAGGAGCTAGCTTAAATGCCACTCAGCATTTAAGCTAATATATATATATATATATATATATATATATATATATATATATACACGCACAAACTTAAATGCTGCCCTTTTATATATATATATATATATATATATATATATTGTCTTAGCAATTCACCTGAAGATGATTTTGGATAAGATTGAAAGTACTTAAGAAAATAAAAGAAATGAAAAAAATCTATGGTACCTTCCTTAATGCATTTAATATCAACATTATAAAGTTGATCCGAGAATTCAAGAGGATTAAAATAAAACATAGTCATAATATGTCCAGATTATTCAACCAAACATGCTTGAATGAAGATATGCTGCCAAATACATACATATATATATATATATATAATAACAGCTGTTGAACTTATCATACAAGCATGACCCTCAGTGACTATTTTCTCTCTTCTTTTATTTAGGTCCTCTTTTTGCTGTTATTTTGATTTTAAATTATTGCCTCTTAGTTGTTATGTGTGCAGCAATGGTTTTTAAAGCCAACAAGGGACTTGCAATGCTTTTGACAGAAACAACAAGTGTAAGCAGTTTGATCTTTTTGTAAGTTTTGGAGTTGCTGCCAATGCATCTGCTGTTACTGTTCCTGATATTGATGTGTTGGGTCAACTCTGATTGACTTTGCCACAGCTTCTGGCACACAGCACAACTTAAGTCGGTGAGCTGCATGAATTCACCATAGTTGGCAGATGCTTGATCTAGGTGATACTTACAATGGCTAACTAAACCTGTTTTAGATAAGTAAACTCATCTGCACTCATGGGTACTGATTAAGCTCAGGATTGACTATTTTCCCCTTTGTCACAGCTTGTCTTATCTGTGTCCATTCCACTGATCTCTCATGGAACTGCTCACAGAAACTATAAACAGTCCTCCTCCTAGTTACCCCTATCACAAGCAGCTCTCTCCCACCCATCATCAGTAATGTGGCAAGCACTCAGAAATTCCTTTACTCAGTGCTTGAATCTTTTGATAGGTTTATGTCTTGGATGCATTCCTTGAGCTAGCTTGCCATAAAGCTTGGGAATTCAAGAATCCTTTAACTGAATAACATGACCTGTCCATTGAAGCTGGTAGTGATGAATTAGGGCCTCAGTGCTGACAGATGATACTCGTTCAAGGACAGTTGTTTCAGGTGTATGAGATAGCCAGTGTATGTCCATGATGAATCTCAGACAACACTAGTGGAAGTGTTCAAGGGTAACAAGGTGTTTTCTGTATGTTTTGCAAGAATACAAGAGGTAAGTAAGAACATACATGTTATAAACTAATATCTTGGTGGCCAGTTTCAAACCTCGCTAGTTCCATATCCAATCTTTCAGAGCAGTGAAGGCCATAGTAGCCTTCTGTACCTGACTTGTTATTTTATCATCAAAGGTACATTACCTGTTGATGGTACTGTTTAGGTAAGTGAACTTGTCCCCAACCTGCTACTTCTGGCCATACACATATATTGAAGGTTCAGTATACAGTTACCTGATGTTGGTTGGAGTTTTATTGAGGCTGACAATGAAGCCAAAAGCTTGACATGTTTGAGTCTATCCATCAATATTTGCATTTCCTCTTTGTTATAAGATACTAAATCACAATCATCAGTGTACAGGAGGTCCCTAACATTTGAAAAGTTTTTGTGTTAGTTGATAGACACTAAAGATTAGTCTACCAGATGTGTGATATCGAATGTGGATTCCATGCAAACAATCCACAAAGGCTTTAAATAAAACTACAGAAAAGAAGATTGAGAACAGTATAGATGCTAATAGGTCACCCTGTTACACCTGCTTGGTCACCTTAAATGGGTCAGAAAGTACACCACCCCCAGCATTTACTGAGACTTCCATGAAAGGACTGAAGAACATTTACAAAGGGGTTTGGGCAACCAAGTTGATGCAGGATTTGCCAAAGCAGCTCCCTGTTTACAGAATCAAATGCTTTTGTCAGATCTACAAAAACTTGGAAGCAACCTTGTTGCTGTTCATACAACTTTTCTTGAAGCTGGTGGGCAGTGGACACCATATCCATTGTCCCTCATTTAAGTCAGAATTCACATTGGGATTCTGGAAAAATAGTGTCCACAATATATGTTTAGTTGTAAGAGCATGATACCTACAAGGATCTTACCGGCAAAAGACAGCAGAGTAATATCACAGAAATGACCACACAATTCCTTTACACCCTTTCTCTTATACAAGTGAATGAGAATACCATCTCTCCAATCTGTTAGGACAGCACCTTTGTGCCAGATGTTAATAATTTGATGCATAATTTGAACCATGTGGTCTCCAATTTCAGAAAAAAAGTTCATCCATATCTGCTACTTTACCAATGTTCAACTTAGAGATGAATACTTCAACCTACTCCACTGATTGGTGAGTGGGAGTATTCATTGCTTCCACTGCAGTTCGTTGTTCTAGAGTGTTGGGGGTACTCAGATCTACTTGGCTGTATCTATTCAGCAATTCTGAGAAATGCTGCTTCCAGTGTTTAGAGATCTCAGTTATACTAGTAAGCAGTTTATTGCCATTTGTAAATTTTGATGGTGTAACTTGCCATTTTAGGGCCAAATGCTTTCTTCATAAGAGTATAGAACTCTTTGTTGCTGTTGCTGTCTGTGGCTGATTGCATTTCCACAGCTATGCCCAACCACCACTTATCTTCCATTTCCCATAATATAGTCAAAAAATAGTGTAGTGAATGGTTAGTGTTAGAAATTTATACAGGCAACTAATGAATTCTATAGACATACCTTTGTCACCTTTCTTTATGTAATTAGCTTTGCTTGAGTTAATTAAATTATTGATAATATATAATTATTGATACTAAGCAGTATTTATATTTGGACTATTGTCCTCATCTTTATTATTATCACAACCTTTAGGTGACTGTACCCACTGGCCTTCTTCCATGGGACAATAGCCTAGTGAATTAAAGTATTGATTCATGAATTTGGTGACATTGATTGTGAGTTCAATCTCTGGGCTGAGTTGTACAGACTGAAGACCAGTGTAAACAGGGCAAGCAATAAGCGAGTCATTAATGACTCTTATAAGAAGAAAATAAGATAGCTTTTGACATGGACAGCAGAAGGAAAACTATCTACCCTCATTAATTAAATAAAGGGTTCAGTTTTAAATTCCTTGAAGGTTGCCTGGATCAACAACCCCCTGAAGATGGCCATTGTGTGCAACAGCTGAAATATTGTGATAATAACAACAAAGATGAGGACAACAGCCTAAATGTAAATTCATATATATAAATTTAAATTCATAACTAGACTTCACAAATTTAGGCACAGTACTAGATTGGCAGCAAGGTCTCATCATTTTACAATTGAAATGGCTGCTAGATGTAACCATAAGTTCTATGCTAACAGTTTCTTTTATCACACTTCTTGCTTGTGGAATAATTTCTAGCTTTCCAGTTAACTTTGATCTTCAGTATTTAAATGCAATATCAGTCGTTGTCTTCTATCTTTTGGTTCTTTTATTGTTTTTTCTCCTTAATGATCTTTTCTTTTTTCTCTTATTCTTTCACACTTAGTAACATTTGGCATCTTTGTTGCCTTATTTGGCTTTATTGCCTTACTTGGGGTGAAATGATTAAAAAAAAATTAATATAATAATAAATCCTCATCTCAGAAATGCAGACAGTAAATCAGTAGGAATAAATTAAGAGAATAATTATTAAATTATCTTTTAGTTGTTTTATATTTGAAAATGAGATAAAAAAAGTAGCCAATTTTTATTAATAACCTAATGAATTAACAGTTTTATCATATATTGTATAATTTTTAGAAGTATTTATTCTTTTATATTACATTTTCAGAAAGAAGAAGAAAAAGAAAAATTACTTCAAACAGAAGAATATCAAGGTGAGTAATATTTAAAAAATGTATTTTGTGATGTTCTCTATTAGCACTTAGTGACTTCCATAGAAAACTTTATTGAATTATGTGAATATTCTATCCATTTAGATTATTGCTTTATTCTTGTCTCCTTTTATTGACTTTAAGATACTTTTAAGTTTATTTTTGTGTTGTAAAAGTGTTAATGCATACATTTTAGAAAGAATCATTTTATGGAGAAATATATTTTTTGTGTAGAACTCACAAGAACAAATTTATTTTAGATAATCTATTTAAGTAATGATTATAGTTCAGTTCTTCATTGTAAAACACCATTAAGAAAATATGCAAAGTTCATTTGTAATGAGGTACAAGAGATATATGTAACCAGTGTATAGTTTGTACAAGGCAGTCAGTTTTTGAGTATTATGTGTGAGAAAAGAAGGAAGTAGAAGCTTACTATAAGGGGAGTTTTAAAAATTTTCCAAAGGTTGGGAAGAATACATTTTTATATTGAAAATTAATTTCTTATATATGATTTTATTTGCAAAATATCATCTAGATTTTTTTTATCTCTTAAATAAAGGTGTGTATATGTGTGTGTCCTTTTGACAGCAAAACTAGTGGACCAATTGAACTAAAACTTGATACAAATTGTTATGCAAAAAAAATGAAATGTTAATGATTAAAAAATGGTTATCACCACCATAACAAATCATAGTTACTTGCCCTTGCTATAGTTACTAATTTTGAGAATTTCTTTGTTTTGATCATAGTAGAAAGAATAGTTCTCAACTTGCTTAATTATTTTCAAAATTACTAAAGAATCTCTGTTGGGTTATGTGTTCAATTATTTGAAATATATAATTGATTTTATTTTTAAAAATGTACCTAAATGTACCTAAATATTTTAAAAATGTACCTTCATGTACCTAAATATTTTAAGATGATTTAATAATGTTTAAAAAAAAAATCTTATTTCTATGTAAAATAGAAAAATGCCTAAAAAAAATATAATCTTTTATCTTTCCTTTCTTTTTTGTAGAAACAATGGAAGAAACAAGATTTTTATACTTGACATGTGATTTGCCTGCACCTCCACTTTATCCAGATGATTTACGTGAAAACATTATCCCCCAGGTGCCCTTGGCTAACATTTTAGCCAAGTTCAATGGCGTCACAGAGAAGGAATACAAAACTTATAAAGATTCAACAATGAAAAGATTTAAAATTACCAAGTTGCCTCCTTATATTATTCTTTATGTCAAAGTAAGTTAAAAAAAAAAATCTTCCATGTTGTCTTTTTTTTTTTTTCTTTTTTGTTATGGGGAGGGATTGTTATTAATTTTTTTTTTTATTTAAGCATATTGCCTTCAGTTACATTTCCATAACCATGATTTTTGCATGCTTCAAAGACAGTTGGATTTTCTCGTTATTTTATTCAAAAGAAGTTATCAGAAAGTGAAAATATAATACCACTTTGTAATGACCAAAATATTACCCTTAAAAGCTTAGTATAAGATGGTGGACATTTATTTATTTATTAGTTTTTACATTTTAGAAAATTTTCTGACTCCCCTCCCTCAGCTTATTAATGTGATTTTCCACTCCCACCTTTTTTATTAAGACCCCCCCCCCATTTATTGTATATTGAGAAAATTTCAACCCTACATTATTCAGACCCCCCCCCATTTGTATTGGGTACTTAAGTGTATCCAAACTTATTTCTTTTTTTAAAAGTATTTTCTAACTGTATAATTATTTCAATGTTAATCGCTTCCATCACACAAAACACCCAATATAATAGAAAAGTTTTGTGCAGTTCAGATGAAAAGCATCAATCAACATAGACTTTTCTTTCCAAATTGTTGCTTCAGCAGCCGTTTATTTCCAATCCATCTCAGTTCAAATGTCAGAAACTTCTTTGTTTGTAGGAAATTGCTTCTGCTTCACTCTCTCGTGCCTTTTCTCCAGTAATGATTGATGTGTCTGGAAGTAAAGTACTTATTTGCTGTGGCTGTGTTATAGTGTTTTCAGAGGATTTACTGTAGGGAAACATCTCTGGTGAAGGAAAGAAGGGAGTAGGTCATCACCAGGCAAAATAACAATGTACTTATTGGCTGCAAAAACTCAAATTGCTTTTATTTAACTAACTACAGTAACTGATTCACTCTTGTAAAAGGAGGATAACATAAATAAAGGCTCAGTTGTAAAATGGGCAATGAAACACTGTCAAGAATTACACCTGCAAAACAGTAGAAATACAAGTCCTCTTGTGGTAACAGAATTATAGCAGCACAGCCATCTTTATTTGTTGCCTTTAATGTCATGCACATTTGATCTGGAAAAGAAATTCTACAATTGAGGATTTGCAGTTGTTTTGTTTTAATGTATATTGAAGGTAAATTATTTGGTTATCTGTATTTCTATATTGCATGAGAAAAATAAAGACATAATAAAGATACTCCATTCATTAAGCTCTCTGGCAGTAACTTCTTAGCATCCTGGGTATGACTATAAACTACATCCTGCAGCAAAGCCTCTGATTGGGAGGTTTCGAGAAGCATGGAACTACCTCTTAATTTCATTCTGACCCAGGGTGGTAGCACCTGTTAGGGTCCTAGCTATAGGCAAATAGTGAACTCCCAAACAAAAATAAATAGTACATTTTTATAATAAAATGAGCAACAATACATTTTTATTGCAAAATGACAATGTTAAACTAAAAAAATATAAAAATAGATTTTTATCATAACATTACCAACAATACATTTTATGATCTACAAACTATATATCTGAAAACACATAATTTTATATGTTGAGTAAAAGTATTTACAAACAATTGAAGCCATAAAATTGCATTCAAAATATTCAGATTTTGGCATTAAATAACCCATAGAGGTTGGTATGCCGTTAGACAAAATCACTTTCCTATTCCTGTTTCCCTGAGAGCTATAATCTCCAACTATTCAAATGTAATGTCAATCGACATCTCCAGTTGCCTTGATCTATCCACTATCCTTCTCCTCATCTTTTCCTCTATCACTCCTATCTGATCTTGCTTGAAATCTTCTGTAACCCCTTGTGTCTTAGTGGCTTCCTGCCTTGCTTGGGGTGAAACGAAAAAAAAAAAAACCTCAACATGCATCAGGTTTCTCCCTGACAAGATTGATTGTTTTTTTGTTTTGTTTTTTTGAGTGTTTACTATCCTGATTCTAATAAATTTTCTGTTTGCCAAGATATGCATAACCATTAATATTTCATCTTGTTTTACTAGGAGGATCTTGGTTTCAAATCTAGAATGATGTACTTCTTAATTCATCTATTTTACATATTCCACTTATGCTATTGTCACAACATCATATGTGATCAAGTATGTGGCTTGAAAGGGTGTTTAGTGATTAGCATCATTCTGTAGTGGGCTGAGTCGGTTATGTCACTATATTTCTCTCCACAGCTGTCTTCAGGTCAATATACTAAAGTCACACTGCTTCTGTCTCTTACTGAAAATTAAATCAGCTTTCTTTTCACCAAAAGAAAGTTGTTCTTTTGTTGTTTTTAAATAATACAATGTATTTGTTCAGTACTGGCTACTTTTATTGTCCCTAATAGAGAAATTTTGCTGTTAACTTGTCAATGATGGAGAGGGAGAAGTGAGAGACTTTCCAATCCTAGCAGTTTCAGATTTGTATGTTTGCTACCAAGCAAAAAATTCTCCCTGAAAATTTTTGGAGGGGGAAATTCCTTTTTTACCCTGTAATCTTGCCTTCTCATTAATTGCTGATCCATTAATTCACAGTCCAGTTAAATGGTACCTAAGCCTGCTATATCTTTTTTTTGTTAGACTTGTACCTGTCAACTGACTCTATCAAATATATCATATTTCAGAAGTACAATAAATTTCCAACTGTGTGGCTGTTTTTTATTTAAATCTTTTTCTTTTCCTAATTGTTAACCATAAATTATTCTTCTTTATTTTATGCATACAATGTTACATGCTAGCCTCATTGTATTACATTTAAATCAATAATCTCTGAAATCTGAAATTTTTACCCGATACTTAATGAATTTCAACTGAACCTCTGTATTGCTCTCTAAATGATTTGCCTTGATCATTAGATTTCTACCCAACTTTGTAATGTTAATTTCTTTTCATTTCTTTACAATTTAAAAGAAAAGCAATTTACTTCTACAAATATTATTTTTATTATCTCCCTTGAACTTAATGAAAATAATGAAATATTGAAATATGATTTGGTAGTAAGAGTTTGCAGTGTTTTTGTTGTGATGAGATAAGCCAACTTCCCCATTCACGATAATGGACGTTCTGGTGGCCGATAAAGTACGACCACAGTAAACAGTACGAGAGACAAAAAAGAAGGTCTTCGTTTACTAACACCATTGCGGTTAGCTTACTCCTACGCTGTCTCTGTATTTTGACATACCTACATCCGATTATAAAATTATTATTGAAAACCACACTCGGGTTTACTTTGTTTATTATATCTTGTACAAGATATAACAGCTGGCGATGAAGGATTGTGCAACGTACTTACTTGGAAAAAAAAAAAAAATACGCTGAACGGATTTTCGAAAGCAGAGTCACAAGTCAAAAAGAAACTTTTTGAAAAGTAAGAATTTTTACTGTTAAATTGTGATTTGAAAAATATAGAACTGCGACTCAGATACGAGCCGGTCTAATAATTGATTATTCAAGTAAAAATTACGGGTGGTAAAAATATTACGGCTGTAAATTGTCTGTTGAGAGTGTTAACTGTCTAAAAAAAAAAAAAAAAAAAAAAATTTTTTTTTTTTGCCGAATTCTAAAGAAAGTCAGGATGGAGCAATTAGTCGAAATGACTAAAATGCTGTGTACAAGCTTACAACAGCAACAACAACAGCATCAAGAGTTACAACAACAGCACCAAGACTTACAACAACAAATATTGCAACAGCAAAAAAGTCTCGAAAAAATTCTGAAACTGGCGACTGGAGAAAGAAAAAATACTGTTTTTTCTGCCGAAGGAATAGCAAATTCATTATCCGAATTTATTTATGATCCTGATTCGGGCATTACATTTCCAGTGTACTTTAAACGTTTCGAAACTATATTTACCAAGAGATGTCAACATTGGTCGGATGAGGAACGAGTAACATTATTAGTCCAGAAACTAGGGACAAACGAGAATAGGAAGTACTCAAACTTGATATTGCCCAGAAAGCCAGAAGAAGTTTTGTTTGAAGAAACTATAAGTATTCTGTCAAAAATATTTGACGAAAGGAATAGTCTGTTCCACACGCGATAGATGCCTAAACATCGTTAAAGCAGATAACGAGGATTTTGTGACATACGCGGAACAGTGAACTCTCTGGTTGAACAATTCAAGTTAGAAGAAATAACCAAAGATGTATTCAAGTGCCTAATTTTTTCTTCAAGGACCAACTGATCCTAAATATAAAGAAATTAGGTCGAGAATATTAATAATGGTCGAGCAAGACTCGAAAATAACATTACAAAGGGTGACCAAGAATGCCAACGTCTCATAAACGTAAAAAGGGATAATATACAAATTGAGGAGAAAAGTGTTGCTAATGTTCGACACGTAAAACTCAAAAACTCCAAAAGCCAAAAAAGGTAGAAAAATGTGAGACGTGGTGAAAAAAATAACCATACCAAAGACACGAGTTGGTACAAAAATAAATTCTGCCAATCGTGGAAAAAAAATCATACCAAAGACGTGTGTTGGTACAAAATAAATTCTGCCAATCATGCGGAAATAAAGGCATAAATATACGGTTTGCGAAAGAAAAGAAAATTACAAGATGTAAGCCTGGTATTATCAGAAAAAGAAATTCAGAAAGGTAAAAATAGAAAGTAATAGATAAAACGATAAATAATCATACAATTACTTTCCTACTGGATTCTGGTTCAGACATAAGCATCATTGATGAACAAACATGGAAAAATATTGAAGACCTAAATTATCTGAAACCAAAAAAAAAAGCTAGAGGGGTTTCAGGAAAGAAATTAAACTTTAAGGAGAATTAAAGTGCGATATTTCGTTATGTGGCAAGACTGCAAAATGAAAGTGTATGTAATCAAGGGATTAATTCATGTCTTTTTGGAATAGACTGGATAGTACTTTTTGATTTATTTGAACTCCCAATTAACTCATTTTGCAAACGTAATAAACAGTGCCGAAAAACAAAAAAAATATTAAAAATGAAAAATTCATAAATGAATTAAAAGAAGAATATCCCAGAGTTTTTTCTGAGGGATTGGGTTTATGTACTAAGACGGAAGTCAAATTTGAACTCAAGGAAAATGTGAAACCAATTTTCAAACCTAAGAGAAACGTTCCTTTTTCCTCCTTAGACACAATTAATAAGGAATTGGAAAGAGTTGAAAAAAATGGGAGTGATGTCTAAGGTTGACTATTCGGATTGGGCCTCGCCCACAGTTTATGTTAAGAAGAAAAACGGAAAAATAAGAGTGTGCGCAGATTTTTCAACAGGATTAAATGATTGCCTTAAGAATCACAGTTATCCACTACCTTCACCAGAAGATATTTTTTCAAAATTGAATGGTGGGAAGATTTTTTTCAAAAATTGACCTGTCTGACGATACTTGCAGATTAAAGTGAGTGACGAATATGTTCGAAATATTTTGTATAAATACACAAAAGGTATTTATAAGCTAAATAGGCTTCCTTTTGGCTTAAAGGTCGCCCCAGCTTTGTTTCAACAGGTGATGGACACTATGCTGGCAGGCCTTGAGTTTGGTACCGCCTATTTAGATGACATTCTAGTCAAAAGTAAGAATGTTCAAGAACATAAAAACGCACATCAGAGCGATATTCAAAAGACTAGAAGATTTTGGTTTAAATTAAGCCATGAGAAGTGTAAATTCTTCATGGAAAGAATTACGTACCTCGGACAGGTAATAGACAGTGAAGGCAGGAAACCGGACCCACAGAGAGCTGATGCAATTAAGAACATGCCTGCACCCGACACAGTTGCTAAACTACAATCGTTTCTGGGGTTGGCACAATATTATGCAATCTACATACCTAAAATGTATGATTTAAGAGCCCCCTCAACGAATTGTTAAAAAAGACAAGAAATGGTTTTGGTCAAAAGATTGCTAGACGGCTTTTCAGAAAATAAAAAATGCCTACTCTCAGATCTCGCTTTAGCACATTATGATCCTGAGAAAGAGATCATTTTGGCAACTGACGCAAGTTTGTATGCGGAGGGTGCTGCACTGCTACACAAATATGAAGATGGCACTACTAAAACCGATCGCAAGACGTTGCCGAGGACTCTTCTTCGGCTGAAAAAAAATTATAGCCAGATCGAGAAAGAGGCTTTGTCGATTGTGTTCGGGTAAAAAAAATACCACCGCTTTTTACATGGTAGATCATTTGTACTGCAAACGGACCATAAACCGTTACTTTCAATATTTGGAGGTAAAAAGGCATTCCTACACATACAGCTAATCGCTTACGGCGATGGGGTGTAACCCTGCTTAATTACCATTTTAGGATGGAATACGTCAAATCTAAAGAACATGGGCATGCGGATGGATTGTCAAGGCTGATTCCAAAAAATGAAGAAATGTTAGAAGAGATGGTTATAACAGCATTAACTGAGGAAAAAGAAATCTCAGGTCTCTTGTTGAATACAATCAGGGAATTGCTGGTAACATTGGACAAAATAAAAAAAAGAAGCAGAAAAAGATCACTATATTGTGAAATTAAGGAACCAGATGATGGAACAAAAGACAGAAAAAGGGAACTCAGATTTCACCTTTTTCAATTTGCAACAACACATTGATGTACGCAGATAGAATTATTATACCTCAATCTCTACGTACAGATATGCTGAAAGAATTTCATACCGGTCATCCTGGAATGTCTCGGATGAAATCACTCGTGCGTGGTTACGTATACTGGCCGGGAATGGACAAGGATATTGAAGATTTTGTAAGACTATGTAGAGGTTGTCAATTGGCTGCAAGGGCACCTCCGGTCAAAATGAATCCTTGGCCGAAAACGGATTTGCCGTGGCACGTCTACATATAGACTATGCTGGACCAATTAATGGGCACTATTATTTGATATTGGTGGACTCTTTATCGAAATGGCCTGAGGTAGTCAAGTGCAAGCATCCTACATCTAGGAACACCATCAGTGCATTGGATGAAATTTTCAGTCGTTTTGGGGTTCCCAGAACATTAGTTAGCGACAATGGATGCGGCGTTCACAAGTATGGAATTTAAGGATTTCTGTACTGCCTTAGACATTGAACACATAACTACACCAGTGTGCCATCCCAGGTCGAACGGTCAAGCCGAGAAATTTGTTGACACTTTTAAACATTGCTTTACGTAAAAAAAATAGAGGTATGGACACTGAAGAAAGAACTATTCAAAAGTTTTTAGCAATCTATAGGGTAACTCCTAATGAGAACAATGATGCGAAAATGTCACCTCATGGAAATTATGTTCGCAAGGAAAAATTAGATCAATTTTCGATAGATTGTTACCCTATCAAGGCAAAAAAAGTTGCTAAGAAAGAGGAAAAGTCAACATAAAAATACACTCCAGGAGACAAAGTTTTTTTTTAAATTTTAAAAAGTGGGAAAAGCTATTGGATGGATGGCATAATCCAGAAAAGGATTGGTAAAGTGGTCTACACAATTAAAAGTAAAAAATTTACGTGTAAAAGACACATCAATCAGATTAGACCACGATATGGTGAAGAAAGTGAAAAAAGCGAAGAAGAAATTCCGATGGAAGTGTTATGCGATGCTTTTAACATGACACTATCCAATAGTGCATTTGAACCTGTATCGCATGGACCAGCCTTACGGGCTGAAAAGCGGAAATTATCTTCGCCAAAAAAGGATCAAATTGTGATGACTAAAAGAAGGAGCACACGGGAAAGAAAACCAGTGGAGCGTTTTAGTCCGGATCCAAAAAGAAGACGACATTAGAAGCAGAAATTTTCAAAGGAAGAATTTCAGCTTCGGGGGGAGGTGTTGTGATGAGATAACCCAACTTCCCCATTCACGATAATGGACGTTCTGGTGGCCGATAAAGTATGACCACAGTAAACAGTACGAGAGACAAAAAAGAAGGTCTTCGTTTACTAACACCATTGCGGTTAGCTTACTCCTATGCTGTCTCTGTATTTTGACATACCTACATCCGATTATAAAATTATTATCGGGTTTACTTTGTTTATTATATCTTGTACGAGATATAACAGTTTTTAAGAAATTTTATCAGAAATATATATTTTTATATATTTATTCTAACTTTATTGCAGAGATTTACAAAGAATTATTTTGTTTTTGAGAAGAATCCTACAATTGTGAACTTCCCTATCAAGTAAATATATTTTCTTTTTACTCTTATAATTTGTAAATTTTTATAATGATTATGAATTTGAAAACCTGATTCCAAGAGTTGTTCAACCTTTTATGTTGTAACCTCAATATTTTATTCATCAAAACCAATTCTAGAATCTTCAGATATACTATCCATAAGGAAAGAGAAAATTCCTTTTTCTTTTTTTAACAGAAATGGTTTTGTTCTACAGAAAGAGAATTAAAGAGTATTCTCAAGTATCAATATGGAATCAATGACATTACATAGTTTGCTGAGAATTGTTGTGTCTATGGCTCATGTTGCTGGGAATGAGCCAAGCCAATCTATGGAAAAGCTACCATTTCTTAAATTCTTTTCTTATGGATTATACAAGTCCCTCAAAATATAGCAATAAAAAATAATTTCAATAATCTGAATTACTGTTGGAATGATAATGACTTATAAAAATTATAGACATTATCTTGAAAGCCTGATATTGAAAATAGAACTTAAATTTTATGTTCAACCTGAGACTATTTACCATGAATTATTATAATTCTTACTTTGAACACCTGATTTATTTAGATTAGTTTATTATCACGGAATTGTTTGCAATTGCTTTAGCTTCATTATATTTGGGCCTGATTGGTAGTGATTTTGAGAAACACAGTTTGTTTTTTTTAATTATTTGTTTGAAATAACTGGTGATCAGTTACCAGGTTTAAAAACCTAATTATCATTTCTTTCATACCCATCTTTATTCCTTAAATATAACTACCATATTTTAAAACTTAATATTGTAAATTTTTAATGTCTTTTTTATTTCCTGTTGTCTACTCAGATGAGAGAAATAATTTTAAAGAATGGACATCTTAAATTAAAATGCTGTTCTTTCTGTGCAAGACTTCTGTCCTTGTATCAAATATAGGTGACTTGAATGCTAATTTTACTGTAGGGTCCATATGTCTATATATCAGTTATGGGCTAAATAGTACAACTTGTATCAGTAAATCATTATTATCTCCAAAATATTCCTACAATCTAAAAATATTTTCTGGCTTTAAATAACCTGCAAAAGGTTGATAAGCTGTAAAAAAACCAAATCAATCAGTCTAGAGCAGGGGTTCCCAACCTTTTTTGTGTCATTGCCCACTTTCACATGGAAATATTTTCCACTGCTCACTTGTATCTTAAATATTCAAAAGCATACCAAAATTGTTTGGTAAAAGTTTGTTACTGGTTCATATGCAGTAACTGCTACCATATTAAAGAACAAATGAAAACAATCTTTTTTTTGCATAACCTATGTTGAAATACGTTTTTAATATTCATAATCTTACATTGCCCACTAAAATTTCTAATCACCCAGGTTGGGAAACGCTGATCTAGAGTGTAAAGTTCTATTGATTTATCAGTTAAAGATGATCAGGATTTTATATGTTGCACATAAATTTTTCTTTTCTTTTTTGTACAGAAATATTGATTTTGGAGATTTGCTCACTCCTGAAATCCGTGCAATCCATCCTTACACAACATACGATCTCATTGCAAATATTGTACATGATGGGGATTCTTCTGGTACTGACAAAGGAACTTACCGTGTACACACACTGCACAAGGTAAACTAACTTTTAATCTGTTCTTCATCTTTTTACTACTTGATTCTAGCCACATTAAGAATTATAGGTAAGCACTTAAAATGTGTTGAACACTCTTACAAAACAGTGATTATAAAGGCAATTTTCTCAATATGGATTTTATTTCAGTTAGTCAAAAGTCTAACATTCAGGGCTCCTTCCACCATGTTTTATCTTTACAAGATTCAGATCAGACCAAAAATGAAGTATTGCTACCACATCTGGTCTGGAGCTGCTCAATCCTCAATTTCTAGCTATGATAGAGATCAATATCCACTCAATATTGGTTTTCTTCATAACCACAGTGGTGTGGCGGTGGGGTTTGCTAACTTATCCTTCACTCTGCAACACCTTTCCCACAGATGCAACTTTGCACGCCTGTTGTTACTCTATCACTATTTCCATGACAAATGTTCAGATGAGTTCTGTTCTTTAATTCCACCAGTTCAGACATTTATGTCTAGGACAGGACACGATATGCCATGAATCTTTCTCATTTCCTCAACATTCCAAATGTAAGAAAAATTTTCACTTAGGTTTTCTCCAAGAATTGCCACTTTGTGGAACAGACTTCCACGTGGATGCTTCGCTGAACTCTATACCTCTTCAAATCAAGAGTTAGTCATTATCTTGCATCTTCTCCTCACTTACTACTATTTTCTCATCCATTCATATCATACACCTCATACACCCATTTTAATAGTCTTCTTTGTGTGGTTTTCAAGTCTTGTACTGCGTGAACTTAAATGTTATACAGGCTGATTACTTTCATATGAGGGGAAAAAAAAAAAAAAAGAAATGGACAAATTTTTTTTTTTTTTGGCTGCATTTTATCTTTCTTTATCTCTCTAAAAATAATTTTAATACATCACAATTTTTATACCTTTCCATCCTTACTTTCCTTTCAGTTTTTTGCCCATTGTCTCTTGTTATTCAGCCAGTAACCTATCTTTTTTGTTTTTATAACTTTCATCCTTTATGTATGCACATCTATATTTTTCCTTTCACCTAGTTTTCTTTTCATTGATACAAAAAGTAGAATTTTTTTTTTTGTTTAAGTAAAACCTTTCATTTTTTATATTCCCATTAATAGAAATTGTAAACTGTCTCCCTTCATCTATGTGAGGGGGTAATCATTTTAGCTGTTGTCTAAGATAAAGGCTATTTAATTCAAAATAGTTATTTCTTACTTTGGTTTGAAATGTTCTTGTTTCAGGATTTTTAATCTTTGTAGCCTCAATATGAATTTCATGACTTAAAGAATAATAAAAAAAAACCTTTTCTTCTTTACATTAGGGAACAGGCAAATGGTTTGAGCTGCAGGATTTGCACGTGGCTGATATCCTACCACAGATGATTACTTTATCAGAAAGTTACATCCAAGTGAGTTAACCAATTTTCTTTTTCCTCTGTAGTTGATAACAAAACAAAAAGAAAATTACTGCACTGTCTCCATAGCTGTTAAACCAGAGTACTTCATCTAAACATATGAGTATAACATTTTTTTATTATAAAACTGATATTTAGCTGATAAAGATATCAGATACAAGTTCAATGAAATCTTATATTTGAAACAATTCACTATAGATTTTTTAAATTTTTATTTAAATGTCATCATTTTTTTTTTTTTTACCCTAGATATATGAAGTTCGTAAAGACATCCACAATGCATTCTACAAACCCTCAAGTAATGATCAACCAAGTTAACAACAGAAGGTTTTGGCTCTGGTCAGGTCAGCATGAAAGAAATTCATTCACACATCAATTTTGTCATCTATTTTAAAAGAAAATAAACACCTACGTTTTTCTATAACCACATTCTTTCATTCTAATTGACCATTGATGAATAGATGAATATATTTTTTTGAAATGGAGTTTTTTTGTTTGTCAAAATAACAATGAAAATGTTTTATGGTTTTCATTGCTGAGTAACAATTTTAGCATTTTTGTTTGTTTTTTGTTCTTGTAAAACATAGAACCACTCCTATTACTTACATTTAAGTCACTAAAAGAAAAAAAAATCAACAAAATTCATTTAATGATTTTGAAAAATGTTTAATGAATTTCAATACTGTACTTTCACAAAGAGAGGATTTGTCAGGTCTGTTATGGTGATTCCTTGAGATTTTTGTCTGCAGAATAGTTGCAGACAGAGACGGCACCGTAGATTTGAATTTGAGCAAAAAGGGAAAAAATTATATAAATGGATTATAAAAGAGTATTCCGAAATCAGTAGAGAAGGAAGGCTTTGAAGAACTAAAAAAAAAAAAAAAAAAAAGCATGTAAACAAATTCTCAATTTAGATAATGTTTAATTAACAAATACATTTCTTTCCTTCTGAGTTGCAAAGAATTGGTTTAACTTGTATTTATGAACTAACAAGAACCTTATTGATTTATCTCTCTTAAATACAATTTGATTAAGATAACATCCAGCTTAGTCTGTTGCATTCACTTTCGCACAAAGGCAGAGTGCTCAAGCCTTGAACAGTAATTCTTCCAGGTTGGGTTAATGGCAAATAAAATGTGCCATGTTTAATGGATATCAGTTATTTCCTGTTAATTCCCCTCTCCAAGTTCTCCACTGCCTTAACCAGGTATTGAACTCTAGATTTTTTAAAAATGTTTTGGGTCCTGTCACTGGATCTAACCAATGCCTTTATCCACTGTGTCATGTATCCTTGAGGACATCTGTGTGGGAATTTCTGGGTATTGTAAACTTAATGTCTCAGAAACCAGGTTAGGTTTATAATACCCAGAAATTCACACACAGATGTCCTCAAGGATACATGTTAGATCCAGGACCCAAAGAGTGTGAGTTTAATACCCAGTTAAGGCAGTGGAGTACTTGCAGAGGGGAAATAACAGGAGATTAAACATGGCATGTGGAACTAGAACAGTCTTCGGGTGGTTGGAATATCGAACTGAACCCCAGTAGAACAGTCTACCCCAGTGAGCGAAATAAAGGGTTCAGTTCGACATTCCAACCACCTGAAGAAGGCCGGAGCGTACAACTGCCGAATAAATATGGCGACAAAGATGAGGACACTAGTCCGAATAATGTAAATAGTTTACATAATACCTCATCTCACAAATATTGACAAATAGAATCTAGTTTTAAACAAGTAAAGGTTTCTGTTCATCACATTTTAATTCCTTTAAAACTTTGCCAGACACCTATGCCAAATACTGTCAAGAATGTTATTGTTAAAATCTTAAAGGACATGCTTTGTCATGATGACTCAAAGATTTCCAGCAGAATTGAGGTTACTTGCCAAATACAGGACAAGTAATTTGTTTCTCTACTACTTGAGTTAACTATCAAACTCTTTAATAGAAAAGAATAACAGAAAAGGAGGGCAAATATCTTTGAAAAATTGTCAATACAATCCAAAATAATACTCAAGCTTCTTTTAGAACAAACCATTCAGCTTCAAAAACTCTTTTTTTCTGGTTGTTATATGGATCAAGATTTAAACCAAAGTTGTTCTCCAAAAATAATTGATTATAAATGTTATAGTTAGTAGCTACATAGGTTTGAGTTGATATGTCAGTTATTATTAAACAGTGTTAAAAAAAAAAAAAAAAACAGCTAAAAATGACTTCATGTACACATGTACTTACTAAATAAACATTTTATAATACAAAGAAATAATGTCAGCTTATAAAAAATAAATCCATTAATTTATTAGAAATTGAATAAATATCTAGAGCTGCTTATAAGACATTGGTTAATTGCCAAAGGCTTTTATGTTTACAAGATACTGTACTGCTGTGGCTTTGGGTCAAAGTAAATACTTTTTTTTTCATAAAATAAAGGAAGTGCTTAGATCATTTACCTCCGACTTTGTAAATTGGGCCACATCTTTTCGTGGATCAACTTTATGCTGATTGAATGCATCTGGAAAGAAATTATTTCACTGCAGTTAAAATTGTTCTTTTAGAGTAATCTTAGGTTTACTTGAGTAGACAACACTTCAATCTTTTACAAAAAATAAATTGTGTATGTGTGTCTTGTAGGTAGACAAAATGTTTTCATTTCAGAACTAGGGCAAGTTGAGTTCATTAATAAAGATTACCAAACAGTAACCAATAATAAACCACTGCTATATTCCAAAACTGGTATTGCCAGAAAACCTAAAATTCAGTAAAGTCAATAATTGCAAAAATTCATTCTAGAAACAGAATTATTGATGAAGATACAATGTTATTTAAGAAGATCATATTGTCTGGCTATATGCTAGCGTACAAGGTGACTGGGTGTATAAGACAACGCCTACATTTTCAAATTTAAAATGTAGGGTTTGTGCTATAAGACCCCCTACCAATCACATTTTAAAATGTATTGAATTTATTAAATAAATTCAGTAAATATATATTTTATTTTCACTCAAATTCTAATGAAAAAACGGTGGGAAGATGTTGTCAATTAACTACCGTAATCTACAATACCTCATGAGTGAGTGCCGTGTTTTCGGTAGGCTATTACAGTAGCCTGAATGACTTTTTCCTACTAACCATTCACTTATTCCACTGTTCTTGAATCCGATCTTTAAACAGCTTGTTGAGACACACATCCAGTTGCGTTTTTGTTCAACATTATCAAAAAAAGTAGGTGAGGCAGGGGTTATCCTACCGTCAAAAATCTCCCATGCTAACAACTTACCATAAACCTCAGGATTTAAGGTTCACATTTTATACCTGGAGTATAAGACAGCCTCCTATTTTGGAGGAGGGGGTTTGAAGTTAAAAGGTCATCTTGTATACTAACATATACAGTGTAATGCATTTGACATTTTTATCATAATGTAATGTACATACTGTGAGGAAGGTGCTGAAAAGTTCTTGGCCGGAGTTACTTTCCAAAATCAGTACTTCATTGTCAGATCTTTTTTTTTCTTTGACACTTTAAAGAAACTTGAGAAACAATGTGCCAACTCTGTTGAATAGCAAAGTAAATATGTGGAATTGTACGTGCATTTCATGGGTCCAGGTTGGTTAAGAGTTTTTCAGCACCCCCTTGTATAAGTGTTCTATCAATAACTATGTTTTATATAAACTATTGGTTCCTCTTACTCATAATCCAAGTTAACAATTGACACACTTCAATTTTAAGATTAGAATGTACTGGACAATTTCATTGCAGTGTAGCTCTCAGAAAACATGGTGGAGTAATGGATAGCGGCTCACATTGAGGCATCGGAGAGCCGAGTTTGAATTCCAGTCGAATCCATTACATTCACTTATATGCTCATACCCTTGGGAAAGGTATGAATCTTCTTCTAAGCTATGGGTAAATATCAGGACAGATTGGGTTCCATAGCCTTGGACAGCAACTGGTTGACTGCAGAAAGAAATGGCAACCTACTGCGGGAAAAAAATCTGCTTGGTAAGTCATGTATCAAAAGATACAGAATGCCTAAGCGTATATCACACATGGCACACAACAAAGACTAAAAATAAACTTGATGTTGTTATTCCTTACTCTCAGACAGACTTACAGGGTGCTATATTACAAACACTGTGAAATTAAATATTAATTATTTAAAAATAAATGTACAGTAGAAGTGGATGATATCCTCATGTATCAAAACTAAAAAATAGATTCAATATTTGCATTATTTCATCAAAATACAGTCAAATTTCAAACAATTTATTTTTTTCAGTGAGAGCAGAGATAGACATAAGCATCTTTACAGTGATTTCTCAGTACCAAATTGATTTTGCTACCCATTTTCCCACTGACAACATCCTAATTATGTTACATGCAATATGGGGATCCCAATGTTTGTAGACCATTATATACCATACCTATGAACACTAATGGTTATGTCCCATTCCTTATAACTCACTATTGTGTGTGTGTGTGTGTGTTGGGGGGCTGGGTAATATGCTGTCTAAGTAGTCCACCACTAGTAGTGGTTTACCTACTTCATGCTGCTGGCGAGTATTGTATTTTGTTGATGTTATAAGAGATTACCATTTCATTTCCAACCTCCGTTTTGGTTATTCCTCATTCAGTAATCCTTTCTATTTTACAACATAAACAAAGAATTATGACATACTTTGCTTAATCTTTATTTTAGGATTAGTATTTGATTTTATATAAGAAATCAACTTGCTTTCAATGCAGCACTATACAACAAAAATGCAGTTTGAAACAATTTAATAATCAGAGCAGGCACAGATCCAGATCTCATGTTCAGACAAAGCACAAATAGTTATTTTTTAACCTTTTACTGCCTGGAATGGTTGCAAAATCTTTATGAAAATTAGTATAAATTAATAAGTCATAAATAGTATTTTAACACGATATATAAGCAAATATTATATTTTAGTCTTTTCTTTAATTTTGATTATTTTATTGAAAATATATAATGTCCATCTGGTAGCAAAAAAAAAAATGTCTTAAAATATGTTCCACTAGTGGAACGATATGTACTAAAAGGTTCAATATCTAAATAAAGAAATTTTATTTACAAAGAAAAAGAAATTGAATTTAAAAAGTCATAAATTAAACTTAGAAATAAAATTTATTTTTTTCATTTCATCATCTTCCAATTTATACTTTATAATTTTTTTTTTAATTGGTTCTGCTGTAAATTTCTTTGCTTTTTTTTTTTTTCTTCATTCTTTCCTCAATTCCTATTCTAAAATATGAATGAAAAATGCTGGCACTTACAGAAAACCCCCCAAACTACCCAGACA